ACACGCATGTATGTGCACCACACTCACACCACACGCGTGTGCACCACACAGGTACGTGCACCACACTCACACCACACGCGTGTGCACCACACCCACCGCACAGGTTGTGCACCACACTCACACCACACACGTGTGTGTACCACACGCACCACGCAGGTATGTGCACCACACTCACACCACACGAGTGTGTACCACACACATTACACAGGTACGTGCACAACACACACCACACACGTGTGCACCACACAGGTATGTGCACAACACGCACACCACACACGTGTGCACCACACGCACCGCACAGGTACGTGCACCACACTCACACCACACACGTGTGTACCACACCCACCGCACAGGTTGTGCACCACACACATGTGTGTACCACACACATTGCACACGTGTGTACCGCCCTCACCACACGTGTGCGCCCCACACAGCACAGGCACCAGGCATGTGCTCAGCACACGCACCACACCCCGCACCCACGGCGCACGTGCGCGCACGCCCCGTCTCCCTCCGCCGCGCTCGTCCCCGCGCGAGCCCACCCTGCGGCGCGAGTCTCCGAGCGCTGTTCGCTGCCGGGGAACGCGAGGCCGCCCTCGCGACGAGCGGGAGACGCCGCCCGGCTGCTGGCGGCGGGCACGTCACGGCCGCCCACCGGGGCTCCCGCGGCGCCTTCGCGGCCGGGCGCTGCCCGGGACGGGCTCGGCCTGCCCCCTAGCGGCCGCTCCCGCCACGGCGGGCCCGCGCCTCCCCGCGCGCGCACCTGCGCCGGGCTGCAAACCGGTGCAGCCTCCCGGGGGAAGCTGGGCAAAACCCGCGAAGACAACGAAGCAGCCACGTCCAAGGGATCCGCGTGGCACCGCGCCCTGCACGAGTGCAGGGGAACAGAGACGCAGGGGCCAGGGGCCGGGCTGCCGGCGCGGCTGGGAGGCGGCCCGGGAGGAGGGGGCGGGGCGGGCGAGGGCCCCTTCCCCGGCTGCACCTGCTGCCAAGTCTTTGACCCTTGGACGCTGTGAGATGCGGCGTCCTCACATGTTCAGGTGACGTTATTAAGCCAGCACAGGACGCGGGGAAGGCAAGGCGGGACACACACCAACAAGAAGCCCAGCAACACCGGCCGCCGGGAGAGTAACCCCTGAAGGGGTGGGCCAGGGAGGAAACCAGCTGTGCTCCCCTGGAAGGCTGCATGGAGGCTGCATCCCGGGACGCACTCTGCCTTTTAAATGAATAGGAAATAAAGAAATTCTTTTTTTTTTTTTGACAGGCAGAGTGGACAGTGAGAGAGAGAGACAGAGAGAAAGGTCTTCCTTTGCTGTTGGTTCACCCTCCAATGGCCACCGCGGCCGGCGCACCGCGCTGATCCGATGGCAGGAGCCAGGAGCCAGGTGCTTCTCCTGGACTCCCATGGGGTGCAGGGCCCAAGCACTTGGGCCATCCTCCACTGCACTCCCTGGCCACAGCAGAGAGCTGGCCTGGAAGAGGGGCAACCGGGACAGAATCCGGCGCCCCGACCGGGACTAGAACCCGGTGTGCCGGCGCCGCAGGCGGAGGATTAGCCTAGTGAGCCGCGGCGCCGGCAACACACATTTCTAACCCACAGTTTCCACATGTCAGGGGTGCGTGCCGGGCCAGGGATGTCTCTGCTCAGTTTCCGCAGGCAGAAATCAGGTGCTGGTGGTGGCTGCTCTCATCTGGGGTCCTGTGCCAAGCCGCTGGCTGTAGGCAGAATTTGGCTCCTTCCTGTTGGGTCACAGAGACCCCTGTCTGCTTTCTGTTTGCTGCCTGGGGAACCCTTGGAGGCTGCCCCTCGTGTTTGCCACGGGATCCAGGACCTCACAGTGGGGCAGCTTCATTTGTCCAGGCCAAGGGGAGTCTTGGCTGCTATGGAGACCCACAGTAAGCAGGCACCACGGAACGACTACGGCGTCCTATTTCCAGTTCCCACCACCCTCCAGTGGACATTGTAGCAGGGTGTGTGCCACTGGGGGTCCCCGGAGCCCCCGGGAGTGCGAGAAGGCCCTGAGGTGATGTGCCACGTGGCCACGTCACTGTGCTCTCTGCACACCCACGATCCCCCGTCAACACTCCCGGGAGCAGCCTCGGTGGGTGGCTGGTCTGCCTTCCGTTTCGTTCGGGCAGTCACACCCCGAGTGACCACACAGCAGGCCACGTCACCACTGAGGGGACGTCACTAAGTGATCGCTGCGTGTTTAGGACCCCGTGTGCGGCTGCCCGTGCAAGTTTGCCAGGAATCCTGCCGCCAGCCCGGGTGAGCCTGCTCTTCCGAACACCTAACTACCGTCATCGGCACAGACGGTCTGGTCAGCTTCTCTTTTTCAGACCACAGAGTGGAGTATCCTGGGATTTGGGATTGTCTACACTAGCAGAATTGAGTGCAGCTCCTACACCGACATCTATGGGATTCTAGAATGAAAGCATTGCATGAGGTGGGCTGGGTTGAAGAAACGCTGTTTTCCAGGCCAAACTGAAGGCTGGAAACCGCTGGATTGGGCTCCACCAGAGACTCGGGGCCGCTTCTATGGAAATGGCCAAATCTCAGCGTCTGGCTGATTTTCCTCTGCCAGCTGGCAACAAGGAATTTTCATGTTTTGTTCTTTTGTATGCTCTCCATCTCCAGTTTTCAATGATCTGGGCAGAACCAGATATAAAAATGCGATTTTAAAATGTTGATTTTGGGGGCTGGCACCGCAGCATAGTAGGCTAAGCCTCCACCCGTGGCACCAGCATCCCATATGGGCACTGGTTCCTCTTCCGAAACAGCTCCCTGCTTGTGACCTGGGAAAGCAGGAGAAGATGGCCCAGGTCCTTGGGCCCCTGCACCCGTGTGGGAGACCCAGAAGAAACTCCTGGCTCCTGGCTTCAGGTCAGTGCAACTCTGGCCATTGCGGCCATCTGGGGAGTGAACCAGCAGCTAGAAGACCTCTCTGTGTCTCTACCTCTCTCTGTAACTTTCAAATAAATAAAATAAATCTTTACAAATAAAGTTCTGAATTACCCTAGTCTCTGTTCCTAAGGAACACTTTTTCCTGGCTGTTAGCATATAAAATAATTAGCATAAATTAGAGGTTGGCAGCATTCTGTGACGGGCCCTGTTGGTAAATATCTTCATCTCTGAGAGCTGAACTGGTTTCTCTTGTAGTCTTTCAGCTCTGCTCTTGTTGCACAAAAGGAAACAGAAAAATGTTGAAATGAAATAAAAAACATTGAAATTTGAATTTCATGTCACAAAATGCCATCTTATTCTTTGCAACAATTCACAAATACATAAACCGTGATTATCTCCCAGACCATAGGCCTGTGAGCTGTGGTTTCCCAGTCCTTGCTCTAAGGATCTGCTGGTCAAACGAACACCATTTAACACCTGCCCCATACTGAGATCACAGGTTAAAACCAGAAATTATTTTTTAATTTAAATGCTTTAAAAAAAGATTTATTTTGAAATTCAGAGTTAAATAGAAAGAGAGAAAGACATGGAAAGATCTTCCAACCGCTGGCTCATATTCAACCTGGCCACATCAGCCAGTGAGTGCTAGGCCAGGTTGAAGCCAGGAGCCAGGAGTTTCATCCAGACCTCCTACATGGGTGGCAGGGGCCCAAATACTCAGGCAACTTCTACTGCGTTTCCTAGGCATTAGCAGGGAGCTGGATCAGTAGTGGAGCAGCCAGGATAGGAACTGGTGCCCATATGGGATGCTGCTGTCACAGACAGTGGGTTTACCCATGATGACACAATGCCGGCCTCCAGAAATTATTTTTTACTTATCTGGATTTCATCAGAGTGTGTGGTGTAAAGAATTCACACACTCCTGTTTTCTCTGACACACTCAGGATTAAGATGAAAAGGAATGTGTTAAAGAACCTTTTCCTTTTCTCTTTAAATTTTTGTTTATGAGAGAGAGAAAGAGAGGAAGGGAGAGAGGGAGGGAGGCAGGGAGGGAGGGAGGGAGGGAGGACGGACTTCCACTTACTGGTTTACTCCCCTAATGCCCACATGGTAGGACTGGGTTCAGGCTTCCAGCTTCACCCTGTGGGCTGGGCTCTCTGAGATGGGATGTGAACTTCCCAAGTGGTGTCTCAGCCACTCAGCCAAATACCTGCCCCTGAAGGCCATTTTCCAAAGACTATAACCTCGACAAGAGGAAGAGCCGGGCTGCTCCCTTGTGAGGTCGGAGCTGCCCAGGACAGGTGCCGAGGGCTGGGAGCAGAGGGCGGGAATGAGCTTCCTGTGGTGGGAAGAGAGGCGGTGGATTCAGCGCCTCTATGCCAGGCACACACAAGTTGTCCAGAAGCAAAACTAAGGGTGCTTCTGTGGTGCCCAAGGCTACCGCGTCTCCTACACGGACACAACATCTGTAGAAACATCCGGTTGGCCCAGCTTCGGGAGGATGGGCTGGGGTCAGCATGGGAGTGGAACAGCCTTCAGTAAGTGCCCAGCGAACTTGCCACAGCATTCATTTCCCAAGGATTATAAATGAAGAGCGTATCCTCTAGTGACCGCCCTCTGGTTACCGCATCTGAATCCCAGACTCCAGAGAGAGCATGAATCGCATCCCTATTCCAACCACATAGGTAACTGCTGGCTTGATGGGAGAAAACGTCGGCACAAGTATATGAGCTGGCCTAAATAAAACCTCACTGGTGGTGACAGAAGCGAACAATTCGAGAACATGGCCCTCCTACCTGAAGCTGTCCTGGGTGGCGTAATGAATCATCAAGGTCAAAATCAGTTCCATATTTTGTACACGTAGATTCTGCCGAGAAGAAAGGTCACATCTATGCCTCCTCTCAAACCTCCCAGCCTCACTGGACCGAGGACAGGAATGTCACATGCACTCCCACAGAGCTTTGGGCACACTCCGCACTCACAGCGCCAAGGGCCTGAGAAAGGCAAAAACAACTGCTATGGCTACTTCCCTCATGTTCGTTTCTCCCTTCTAGTTAAAAAAAAAAAAGGCAAAAGAAAGGTCTCACTGCAGGACTTTTTCTTCATAATAGTTTTATTAGTTTGCATACTGCTTGTCAACACTCAGTTCTTCTATCCTACTTTGACACACAAATCTGTTCACTCATCCTCTTCTCCCCATATTTCGTAAATCGTGATGTTGTTCTGTGGATCAGCGGGTGCCTCTAAGCTTTGAAGCTTGAGGTTATTGCTAGTTGCCATGACAACTTTAAGATTCCGCACTTTGGACACAAATTTCACAAGGTCCATCTCGAGCTGAGTCAAGGTATTGAACGCATAGTCTCTGTTGGGGGAAGTATTTTGATTTCTCCTCAATGGAGAACGAAACGTACAGCCTCGAAGGCTAGGATTCTGCTCCTGTTGAGAAAGAGATGCAGGTGAGTAACACGGGCACCTGGCTGGCTCTCACGCAGTCCCAAGAGCAGGGGGCTCATCTAAGGGACGATGGCTCCAGCACTGCTCTAGTCCAGGCGTTGGCAGACTCTGGCCAGATCTAGCCTGCCAGCTATCTTGGTTAATAAAGTTTTATTAGAACCCAGCCACACCTGTTTATTTGCATATTATCTATGGCTGCTTTCACCCTACAATGCTGGAGTTGGGTAGCTCTAAGAGACCACACACCCCCTCCCTCCCTCCCTGAACTGAACACTGTACCATCTGGCCCTTTATAGCCGATCCCTGTCTGGTCGGTCTGGACACAGGATTATGAGGTGGTCTGGGTTGTACAAACTGGAACGAGACTTGCTGAGTCACCCTAGGGACCAGCAGCGGCCGCTCTTCAGCACAGGTCTCCCGTCTCCTGTGCTGGGATGCTGATACCATGCCCCACGAGTTCAGAAATCTGTACTTGGTCAAGTGTTGGGGCGATTTTAAAAGCCAGAGGTCGGGGGATGTTGCCCTGTGAATGATTCAGCTGTGTCCTGAAACACACCTGAAGTTCTTGAATCTACCCCCACTTTAAAAATTCATGGAGCTGGAAAAACCGAGAGGCAATACACATAAATCACCCTCGTCCGTTGGTCCCACCCCCCGTGGACTTGGGGGCCAGGGCGTGCACTCGCTAACTTCCACCGAGACCGCGAGGTCGGCACTTTCCACGCAAACCCGGTGCTGCCCACACGGCCAGGACACCTGCTGCGGCTTCGGAGATGGAACGGGTGTGGTGGGCGAGCTCAGTGGCGCCGCGCTTACCTTGTTCTTCTCACTGTCTCCTCGAAACTTGAGTATAACATACAGCACTACAACAAACGAGAGCCAGAGCCATTTGCTCCCAAGCCAGCCTTGGGCGTGCTCCGGCAGATTCTGCCTGATCCGGAAGTGCCCTCCGCAAGGCACCTTCCCCTGGGGGTCTTTGGCTTTCTCCCTCAGAGAAGAGAACATGAAGGCATAGCCACAGGAGAGGCATAAAGGCAAGAACAGGAACCATTTCAGCGTCCGCATGGTGGGCAGAGATGGGGGAGGAAGCTGCTCATGGTGGGGTGGTTTGCCCTCTCAACTGGGAGACGGGGTGCCTGGTGCTGGGCTGGTTGGTGATGTCACAGAGGCCCTGAGCCAGGGCAGCTCTGGCCATTGTGAGGACTTCGCGCTGGCAATAATGAGCCCCCAGTGCATCCTGGGAGCAGCACTTAAAGGGGAATGGAGAAATTCCCAGCAGGTGTGGGAGAGGGCGTCCGGTCCTTGCTAGAACATTCTTTCTGCCTCTGGTGCTCTGCTGGGAGAGGCATCCTCTGTCTGTTTGGTCCACTGTGGCGAGCAGAGGCACGGTGTGTCCCTGTGGAGCCGAGACTCAAGTGGGAGACAGTGAACCACCGGGTGCAAGCGAGGGGCCGGTGCTGTGTTTCGCTCGGCTGCCATTGCTTCTAAAAATAACCATTTGTCAGCAGTTAAACATTGTGGGGAGCCTCACTTAAAAACTCCGGATTTCTGGCTTCCTTTGAAAACACGCGCGCTCTGGGAGTGTTGGGCCCACAGCCGCACAGGGCCACTGTGTTGGAGTGGGACAGGAAATGGCCCTTCTGGTGCCACCTTTCCACAGTTCCCACCACTCCCATCAGCCTCACTCCTCATCGACCCCTCTGGCGTGTCCATCCCAGAGGACAACAAAGGACTGTCCTAGATTCGGTGTTCAAGACTCTGGCAAGGGATGTGGGTGGAGCTCGCATGTTGAGCTAGTGAAATGGGGCAGGGTTGACACCTGGGCACTCAGACCCCATGACTCCTCCCACCTGGAGGCTGCTGCTTCTGAGTGTTCACGTGAGAGGCAGCTGGCCCTGCTGTCCTTGGCCATGTGCCAGAGAGGCCCCGCGACCCCGGTTTGGAGGCTCATGCCTGTCGCATGTCTGGATCAGGGCACATGGCTCTTGATTGAGAGATGACCACTGCATATTTAGAAGTCTTCCCCGCCCCCCACATTTTCATACAGCCTGAATTTCTTTAAAAAAAATTGAGGCCAGTGTCATGGCACAGTGAGTTAAACCACCACCTGTGGCACCGGCTGGTTCAAGTCCCGGCTGCTCCACTTCCGATCCAGCTCCCTGATATTGTGTCTGGGAAAGCAGTGGAAAACGGCCTATGTCCCTGGACCTCTGCACCATGTGGGAGACCCAGAGGCGGCTCCAGGCTCCGCTTTGGCCTAGCCCAGCCCCGGATGTTGTAGCCATTTGTGGGGTGAACCAGCAGATGGACGCTGTCTCTCCCTCTCTTCACTCAAATAAACAAATAAATAGGCAGTGCCCACCTGAACCCTTGCCAGGAAGCTTTCGGCAGCCTCCAGAGACGCGTTCACTTGGCAAGCGTTTCTCAAGAGACAGCACGGAAATGCGTGCACCTGCTGTGCGAGCGCTCCAGCCCTACGTGGATACCTGGCTCTGCAGTGGGGCGCTGGCCTCCGTCCCACCTACTGGGTTGCCGGGAGTTCCCGAGCTCGCCTGGCCCTGTAGGTGAGCCCTGACGACAAAGCTAACTTCAACTCCTTCCCTTGGCCCCTGCCTGTGGGGGACCAAGGCACGATGCGGGGCTGGGCACTGCAGGAGCCAGCAGGGTCGCCCCTCCTGAGCCCCGCCCAGCGCGCGATGCTCCTCCTCCGACAGGGCTGGGGAGGGGGCTCCTGCAGGGTTCACCGCGGCTGGAAGCTGCGTGCTTTAAGACGCTCAGGTGCTGATGCACAGGACCCTGTCGCTGGGTCACTGGAAGAACGGCACAGCCACACTCAGTGCAAACATAAAACTGACGCAGGGGAAAATTCAGAAAACTGGAACTGGCAGAAGTAAGTGTCATCAAGATAAAAACACCTCATGGTGGCAAAAGCAAAATCTGAGAGGACTGAATTAAGTTTTAATAGAATAGAGTGGACTAGGAGAAAAAATACCTTTAACCAATAAAAACAAGAGAGTTTAAGAACCTTAAAAAGTGGTTAAAATGGGCTGTGTAGAAAACTGCTGAGGGAAATAAAAGGGCTGATCAAATCTGTTCTGGAAAAGTCCACAATAAAAATGCACAGGTTAATATAATTCTACCAAAATGTGCAAATGTCCCTGGGCCAAACCTTCCCAACACTTCGAAGTAAGAACCAGGTGCACATCAGAGCAGGGTTTTAGAAGTGGGCGAGGGGAGATCCCAGCCTACTGCCCCCCCTGTCAGTGGCTCACCCCTGGCCTCTGGTCCCCCCACCCCACTGCCCTTTCCTGATACAAAGAACCTGCAGGAGCAGGTGTGACTCAGCAGGTTAAGCGACTCCCCGTGACGCTGGCATCCCTATGGGTGCCGGTCTGAGTGCTGGCTGCTCACTTCCAATCCAGCTCCCTGCTAATATGCCTGAGAAAGTGGCAGAAGGTGGCCCAAGTACCTGGGCCCCTGCCACCCATGAGGGAGACCCAGATGGGGTACCAGGCTCCTGACTTCTGCCTGGCCCAACCATGGCTGTTGCGGCCATTTGGGGAGTGCAGCAATGAGTGGAAGAGCTCTGTCTTTCCCTCTCTAATTCTGCCTCTGAAGGGGCCTGCAGACAAACTGCTGCGACTTGGAGGTTCCCAGTTCTTCCTTAGTCCGATGGGAAGTTTCAGTAAACAATGTGATGGGTAGAACACACCGATTCTAGGTGCAGTCCCCCTCTGACCTGCTGAGAGAAGGCGGGGCCCCCGTGACTGGAACCACTCCTGTCACCAGCAATGCTCCGGCTCAAGGCTCTTGCTAGAACATCAGTGGTAGGGAAGGGGGAAAAAACCCAAACAGACGGGAGAAAAGGGAGTTTTATTTTTGTGCCAAATCATTAGATGCTCAACTATAAGCTAATCTTCGCTGTCTTCAAAAGGGAAAACTAGGAAGACCCCCTAAGTGCCAGACCACAAGGCTCAAAGCCCCGCCTGGGCTACTGTGAGGAACAGACTCAGCAGGCAGAGGGGGTGCAACTCGCCCTCTCTGGAGGCAGAAAAACCAGTAGAAGTGGAGTCAGAATAAAGCGACCACCCCAGGACACCTGCAGTCCGTCACACTGCAAGCACAGAAGTAGAACAGACCCGACTCTCCCACCGCGGAGAGGGCCGGTGCAGCTGCGGGCAGTGTGGACAGGGCACTGAGTCACTGCAAGCCAGCCACAGCCTCCCCAGAACCCCGTAGGCGCCTCGCAGCGAGAGTGACCACACGGGCTCGGAGGGGGTGAGGACAACTTTATAACACCGCGCACACAGAGACCACGAGCCACGCAGAGACCCCACGGGACACCGGGAGCAGCCGTGGGCGTGCGCTTCAGAAGCAGTACGACGTGTGGGTGACCCAGTGCGCCGACTCCTCCTTGGAGCGCTTGGCGGAGCTGTGGGTTGTGAAAATCGACTTGTAGGTTTCAGATTCGTCGCTGTCGGCGATGGACCTCTTTGGGGCTCCACACGGAGGCTTCCCAGCTTTTCCGGACGAGCTCCCACTCACTGCCAGAAAAATGCAAAGCCAGAACCTTCAGGCTGAACTAGAGATCGCCCCACGGAGCCCACCCTCCAGAGGAAGGGCAGCAGCCTCTGAGCAAGGTGAGGGCGTCACGAGTTCATGGCAAACACAGCCTAGGGGACAGCCACGCATGGGTTCCTGCATTCTCTACGTCACCTCTCAACTCCAGTCTCCGAAGCCCCTCCCCTCACTGCCAGCTCCTGCAGAGACGACTCCCAGCCCCGTTCCTCGTCCCCACACCCTGCCGGCCGGGGCTCCTGGAGAGACGACTCCCCGCCTCGTTCCTGTCCCCACACCCTGCTGGCCGCAGCTCGCCACGCGCAGGGCACGGGCCAGCTCTGTGAGTGGCTTAACTGAGGCCACGACACGCAGGGCTGGGACGGGCCCTCACTCACCTCTGCGGATACTGCTCAGCACGTAAGACACCACATTCTTTTACCTAACCAATCTGTGCTTTTCGCTTTATGAAGGAAAATGTTCTGAGTTAAAGACAGTTTCGGGAGAAACTGACTCTCGGCCAAGGGGCAAGCGGAGAGGAGAGGGTGTGAAGAGCCGTGGAGGCCACGGAACCCCAGCGCTCTCTGGCGTGGCAGCAGCATCTACTCCACGGCAAACTGAACGACTGCACATGCGCCCAGACCCGTGCAGTCCTGCCAGGACCTACCCCGACGAGGGTGCGTGGACATCCCCGTCACCCGCTGGAGAGCCCAGCAGACCATTTGCAGACGGGACAGAGGCCAAGGCCGACTTCTCTCCTTCACTCACTCACCCACCACCACCCACACAAAACCGCTGCACTTCCAGCTTCCCCAGTGCTCGGTGTCTCCGTGGGACCCACCTGCACTTCTGGGAGCCGAGTTGGTTTTCTTCTCTCTAGAATCAAGGCTGGAATCTTCAGGCTTCCCTGTCTTAACTTTTGATGTCTTGGTGGATTCTATAAAGAAAACAATAACAAAACAAAACACCACAAAAGCAGGAATTGCTTAGGAAACAGCCTTGGAGTCCCACGTGGCTGAAATGAGGGCCTGATCAGCATCTCACCTTCACTGGCTCCTGGTTTCGAGACACACTCCGCTGCCTTGGGCTTCTTTGTTTTCTGTAAAAAGAAAGGACGGTGGAGGATACACCTGTTTTAGTCCCACTACGGCCGCCCAGGCCCGAGAGTCCTGTTTGACAGCCAAAGCAGGTACTCATTCTGAAGACTCTGGTACCGTGGTTCATTCTAAACCTCAACCTTTGCCTGTGTTATCCACTTTGCCTCACATTAGAACTTTGCTGTAGGTTGTGGCCTGGCTATTTCGGCCATTTGGGGAGTGAAGCAGAGGGTGGAAGATCTTTCTCTGTTGCTCTGCCTTTAATAACTCTTCTTTAAAAAGCATATCTTTTGTCTAAATTTTTTTATATTTCAAAATCAAGAATCCTAAACAAAGACTTCAATGAGAATGTTACGGCGACTGCTGTATACATGGAGCAGTTAAAGGAACAGTAACATAAAGCATAGCTGAGCATGTGAAGTCTAGCCAGCTCAAACATGGCCTAACTCTTACCCATTCCGGATTCCGGCAACCCTCCTTCAAAGATGCTGGACTGCTCTGGTATTTGTTTATTTAACAGGAAGGCCTCGGGGTGGGCATCTGGCACAGCAGTTAGGTCACTGGGATGTCACATCGCACGTTTGAATGTCTGGATGTGCGTCCCAGCTCCACCCACATTCCTAATGCACTCCCTGGGAGACAGCGGGTGACGGCTCCAGTACGTAGGTCCCTGCCACCCATGGGAGAGACCTGGATTGTTTCTGGCTCCTGGCTTTGGTCTGGCCCAGCCCTGACTGCTGCGGGCATTTGGGGAGTGAACCAGCAGAGGGAAGAGCTCTGTTGGTGTGTCTCTCTTTCTTCTTTCTCAAAAGAAAGAAAGAAAAAAAGAGAGAAAATGAAAATGAAACTACAGGCCTTGAGGTTTATACCATAGAACATTTTTTTAAAGACTTATTTATTTACTTGAAAGGCAGAGTTACAGAGGCAGAGACAGAGAGAGAGAAAGGTTTTCCATCCACTGGTTCACTCCCCCCAAGTGGCTGCAACAACAGGAGTTGTGCTGATCCGAAGCCAGGAGCCAGGAGCTTCTTCCGGGTCTCCCATGCAGGTGCAGGGGCCCAAGGACTTGAGCCATCTTCTACTGCTTTCCCAGGCCATAGCAGAGAGCTGGATCAGAAATGGAGCAGCTGGGACTCAAACCAGCGTCCATATGGGATGCCAGCACTACAGGCAGTAGCTTTACCCACTATGCCACAGCACCAGCCTCCCCCACCCCCCATAGAACATATTAAACATTTTAGCTAATTCTGCTAAACTCTGGATTACTATTGTTCGATTATTAAGGACTAGAATTTTGTTATTCATATAGTTATTTTGGTCACCAAGAATTTAAAAAGTTTTAACTTTTCGAAATATCTGAGAGGAAGTATGAGCTCCCATTTGCTGGTTCTCTCTGAAGTGCTGGCAACGGCTGGGACTAGGCCAGGGAGAAGTCGGGAGGTTAGGATGCAATCCAGGTCACTGACGTGGGTGGCAGGAACCCATTACTTGAGCCATTGCCTGTTCCCTTCCAGGCCACAATAGCAGGAAGGTGGCAGAGCCAGAGGCCAGAGCCAAGGATGGAAATGATACTCTGAAATGGAATGTGGATGTCTTAACTTCCATGCCAAATGCCCACCCCTAGCAAGAATTTTTCTTAAAAAGAACTAATTAGGCTAATATCACACAGCCGTGTTATAACTAATTTAATGGCAAGAAAGACAAATTAGACTACAATCTACTTTAAAAATGTTATTTCCCTAGGTATCCAAAAGGTGGCGGTAGAGATACACAACCAAATAATTTCAGAAAGTCCCTTCTAATAAACATTGAGAAACAAACAACCTTTCTTGAACAAAACAAAAAAAACCATGTTCACTTCACACCTGAATTGCAAGGATTCAAATTTGTGAAGGCTGATACTAAGCCCTTAGAGAGAGAGCGAGAGAGCGAGAGAGAGAGGGGGAAGGGGGGGAGAGAGAGAGAGAGAGAGACCACTGCTATTTCTAAGCCCTCCTTTCACTGAGTTTATCTGAAAGCTGGAGCGAGGTGGAGGCAGGCAGGAAAGGCTGCGTCCTGTGTGCGGCGCAGGGAAGAACTTGGGAAGAACTCTGGTCCCTGGAGCTGTTCCGGAGGAGCTCCCAGCCCGGGACTTTGCGGAGGGCCTGTCAGCTCCAGCAGGCTCTGAACAGCAAGGCTGTGACGGAGGACTCCCCGAAGTGGAACGGTCAGCAACTGGGTGGAAATCTCTAGCAGCTTTCTTTAAACAACTTTTCCCTTTTGTGTGTTTTTTTTTTTTTTTTTTTAAAGATTGACTTATGTTATTTGAAAGGCAGAGAGAGAGAGAGAGAGAGAGAGAGGGAGAGAGAGGGGTCTTCCATCCGCTGGTTCACTTCCCAGTGGCCACAACAGCCAGAGCTGCACTGATCTGAAGCCAGGAGCCAGGAGCTTCTTCAGGGCCTCCCACGCGGGTTCAGGGGCCTAAGGGCTTGGGCCATCTTCCACTGCTTTCTCAGGCCATAGCAGAGAGCTGGATCCGAGGTGGAGCAGCCGGGACTGGAACTGATGCCCACATAGGATGCCGGCACTGTAGGCAGCAGCTTTACCCACTACGCCACAGGGCCGGCCCCTCCTTTTTGTCTTTTTAAAAACTGTTTTCTCAATGGTAACATTGAAGAATAAGCGGATCCAATTTGCTAACTGTCCCTTGTCAAAAAGGCTTTTACTTGCTCTTAGTTTTTTCTCTTAATGATAATCTTAGTAATTTAGAAAAACAATTTAGAACTCACACACACATAACTACACCTGCTTTTTCTTTTCTTTTTCTTTCTTTCTTTTTTATGATTTATTTGAAGGAGTTAGAGAGAGAGAGGGAGAGACAGAGATTTTCCATCCACTGGTTCACTCCCCAGATGGCCGCAACAGCCAGGACTGGACCAGACTGAAGCGAGGAGCCAAGAGTTTCTTCCAGGTCTCCCTAGTGGGTGCAGGGGCCCAAGGACTTGGGCCAACCTCCACTGCTTTCCCAGGTCATTAGCAGGGAAATGGATCAGAAGTGGAGCAGCCAGGACATGAACTGGCGCCCATATGGAATGCTGGCATTGCAGGTGGTGGCTTTACCGACTGTGCCACAGCGCCGGCCCCTCAAAACCTGCCTTTTAACCTCAGCAGTCCTTAAGTGACCACGTGACTTTTTAAGTGCTTCTCAGGAATGCTGTATTAACATCTTTGGAACTGCCCCACGGGGCTGGTGCTGTGGCGCAGCACGGTAGGCCGCTACCTGCAGCACCAGCACCAGCACTGCCGTACTTCAAGTCTACTGCTGGACTCAAGTCTACTGCTGGACAGCACCCTGGATTAATTTTTTTCTTTTAAAGATTTTATTGAAAGAAGAATGACTGAGGAGGGGTGGAGGGGTTGCATATGTGATTTTTCCACCTGCTGGTTCATTCCCCAAATGGCCTGCTGAAGCCAGGAACTAGGAACTCTACTCAGGTAGCCCACATGGGCAGCAGGGGTCCAATGACTTGAGCCATCACCTGCTGTCCTCCTAGGCTTTATTGGTAGGAAGTTGCGTTAAAAGTAGAGTAGCCAGGACTTGAATTGGCACTCCCATAAAGGTTGTTGGCACAGCAACTGGCAGCCTAATCCACTGGTCTACAATGCTGGCCCCTGGATGATTTCTTACTCAAACACTGGTCTGAGCCTGTTCATTATGTTTTATCATTTAAGCAACACTTCTAGTGCTTTTAGAACGTGGACCATAACCCTCCTGACAACCCCATGTCCTCTGCAGTGTTGTCACACCCCCCTTCCCTGACAACGAAGTTGCGTTCCATCATGGAGCGTCTCTGGAACCCAGGCCCTTCTGGGTCACACAAACCCCAGTGACTGCTGCAAAGCCTCCCACAGCTGCCAGCAGCCTGGTTCTGGGGCTGCATCAGCTCTGCGGCAGAGGAGGAGGACGGGCAGACCCAAGTTACCTTTCCCACCTTGGCTCTCAGCCTCCTCTCCTCCATCCTTCCTCTCAGCGTTTCCACGTCCTCCTTGGTGCCATTGAGCACGATGATGTCATCCTCCTGGAAGGCGGTGCCGCACTGGAGAGGGCAAACAGGAGAAGACAGACTCCGTCACCGCGCAGTCCCCACAACTCACCTCAAGCTCTGGTCCCGTTACTTTCTGTCTGCACCGTGGCTGGTCAGCCCTCAGCTCAGAACCAGGCTTGGGAAGGCTCTGTGCGTGGACCAGTGTTAGCACACGAGGACCAAGAGTCTTGTCTCGAAGGTGCCTGCCTGCAAGGCTGATACTTGGCTGGTGTCTGCGAACTTGGATTTGGGGATGGTTCCTGCCATTTCTTTTCTTTAAATAGTTTCCAATTGAATTTGTATTTATTTATTATTATTTTCAAATGTTTAAAAGCAAGGTTTTTTTTATTTTTTATTTATTTATTTGAATAATAGAGTTACAGACAGTGGGAGGGAGAGACAGAGAGAAAGGTCTTCCTTCTGTTGGTTCACTCCCCAAATGGCTGCAATGGCCGGAGCTGTGCCAATCCAAAGCCAGGAGCCAGGTGCTTCTTCCTGGTCTCCCACGAGGATGCAAGGGCCCAAGCACTTGGCCATCCTCCACTGCTTTCCCAGGCCACAGCAGAGAGCTGGATGGGAACAGGGGCAGCTGGGACTAGAACTGGCACCCATATGGTGCCGGCACTGCAGGCGGAGGATTAACCTACTGTGCCACAGCGCCAGCCCCACCTGCCTTTTCTTAACCGATAAGTGTGGCTCAGGGTGCCAACACCGCCTGTATAAACAAGTGATTTATGCTGAACGGCTGCTTTCCCGCTAGCAGAGGTTACATCACCAGCCCTCAGCAAAAACCCTGGGCACCGACCCAGTGTCCCCCGACAGTGGCATGGCATGCACGCGGCTGTGTTTGGTTGCTGGGGGAAGTGTTTGCTGTGTGGCCCCTCAAGGGTAGGAGCAAGGAAACCTCACCTGGATGTTTTCAGACTCTGCAGCCTGTGTCATCCCCTTACACACAGTTAGGCATCCTACCTACATCACACAGTCAGCCTTAGCTGGGAGTTCAACCACGTGTTAAATCCTCGAGTCTCTCTAGAAAATCCTCAAGCATGAAGGTAGATTCTAGACCACCAACAGTTTCGTGGAGGCAGAAGTGTACGCTGGGCACACACAGAGGCATGTCCACTTGCAAGCCTCCCAGAGAGGCCCCGTGATCATGCAGGGACACTGCCACCCCCTCTCACCCCAGAACCGTCCACTGCTCAGCAGGAGGAATGGATATCTGGGCTGAGAATCCTGGGGGAGGAGGGTGTGTCTTGAAGAGGGAAAGAGACAGAATCGACAGGAAGTAAGAATCAGGTGGCAGGGAAGGCACAGTAGGCCTGGAGCTGTGGCTCTGGTATAAATGACCCTCCTGGACACAGAACCAAGAGGTGGCGAGGGGCCGGCACCACGGCTCAATAGGCTAATCCTCCACCTAGTGGCGCCGGCACACCGGGTTCTAGTCCCGGTCGGGGTGCCGGATTCTGTCCCGCTTGCCTCTCTTCCAGGCCAGCTCTCTGCTGTGGCCTGGGAGTGCAGTGGAGGATGGCCCAGGTCCTTGGGCCCTGCACCCCATGGGAGACCAGGAAAAGCACCTGGCTCCTGCCTTCGGATCAGCGCGGTGCGCCGGCCGCAGCGCACCAGCCGCGGCGGCCATTGGAGGGTGAACCAACAGCAAAAGGAAGACCTTTCTCTCTGTCTCTCTCTCTCACTGTCCACTCTGCCTGTCAAAAAAAAAAAAAAAAAAAAAGAGGTGGTGAGGAGTCTGGCACTTGTTTCACTCGCCCTGCTGCCCCCTTTCTCCCAGTGCCAGGGCAGCAGGCTCTTTCCTCTGGATGTGACTTTCAGAGGCCATGGCCCTTGTTCTGCACACAGCTGTGTTGTGCACAGCATTGCTGTATCTGAGAGGCTGAATCAGCAGTATGCACGGCCCTGCTGGCCCAGTGCTGCCACAGAGCAGCAGTCTTCTCAGGCTGCAGCACGGTCTACCCATCCACAAGAGGATCCTCCTGACTCCTGCCGGATAAAAACAGGACCTCAACTCATGGAATCCCAACATCTCCATTCAGACATGAGCTCACCACCGAAAGAAGGCACGAGTGCAGTAATCCCTGAAGATCAGGGAGACAGATTGTCTCTGCTCAGCTAAGAACTCTTTCTATAGCAACAGCAGGATCTGTCCTGCAAAAAGGCAGCTTGTACCGATAACAAGGCTGCGAGCAGGTGAAGAAAACCTGCACTCACCTGACTAAAAGTCTAGCCTAGCAGGTGTCTAGAAATACACAAGATGGTAAGTCTCCATAGTGATGACTGCTGTCTCTTGGCTTCACTCTCTTAAACTTTTTATTTAAATGAAAAGCAACGAGACAGAGGGAGAGACAGACAAAGACATCTTCCATCTGCTGGTTCATTCCTCAAACGCCTGCCACAGCCAGGGCCAGGAGAGGCTGAAGCAAGAGCTGGGGACTCAATCCGGGTCTCCGACAGGGGTACAGGAATCTGACTGCTTGACCACCACCCACTGCCTCCCAGGGTATACATTAGCAGGAAGCCGGAATCGGGAGCGGAGCTGGGATTTCAATCCAGCCCACTCTGATCCTGGATGCGTCCCAAGTGATGTCCTAGCGGCTGTGCCCCAACCCTTTCCCTTCACTACTGTTAATAGATCTGTCGATAGAAGCCCCGAGAGAGTACCAGCAAGCAAGAACCCAAAAGGGAAGGACGTTAACAAAAGTACCCAAAGGTGGGGAAGAAGCAGCTGACTGAGGGGCCACGCAGGACCTTGCCCTGGCCCCATGCTCAGCATTGGCCAATGGCGGCACTAGAGAGGACAGAGCAGGGCTCAGCTCCCCTGAAACCAAGCCCTCTGGAGTCATGCTGAAGTTCCAGGATTTCTGAGTGCTGCTTAAAAGGAATCAGATTTTAAAATGAATTTATCCCTTTAACTAAAGAGTCATATATCTAAATTCTGCCTCCTGTTTTTAAAGCATTTCAAGAATCTGTCCCACGAATGCCAGGATTTCATCGGGCAGTCTGAGAATCCTAACGGTGTGTGGGCCGAGTGTTTTCTGTTGTCTCGCTTTGTTTTCCCTGCAGGCTGGAGGGCGCTGAAGGCACACAGACGCGTAAAAGCAGCCACCATTCTCCAGTGTGCAGGTCAGAATTGGCAAGGACGGAACTCCCCAGGGATGCCAGGCAACAAAACCTGCCAAGCAGCTCGCTCATGCTGTGAGGAGCCAGAGCCACTGCGGGAGGCGCACGGCGGGAGCACTGGTCGGGCTGGCCCACCCTGCCGGGACCCCATCCCCGAGCTGGAGTACGAGGGGCACCCTCTGGTGAGTGCTGCACTATCACCCAGGGACCATGAGCAGCACAGGGTGAGCAGGATTATTTTTGAGGTAAGATACGCTTTTCTGAAATAGAAATACTAGAACACCAGTAGTATCTGAAATACACATGTTGCAGCATCTTTCTCTTTGAGAAACAGTAACCGCTGTCTGTCTATGGCAAAGAAAACACAAGCGGGATATTTCTGCAGTGTGGGATCCACCAGATCTTAAATTCAAATGCCACCACCTGTTACCTCCTCACGTGGCAGTGATACCACAGTCAGCCTCAAGGTCGCACCCAGGCCCCAGTTCTCACCCTGTGCCGGCAGTGAACATGCTAAACGTGCTGTGTCTGTCCTGAGCGGGGCGTCTACACTGAAGTCTCCTCCTCCCAGCAAAGCGGCTGAAACGACTGACCCACGACTGAGGGAGATGCAGGCTGGGAGCAGAGAAGTCTGCTTTACTGGACAGCTGGACAGCCTCTGAATTCAAAGTCAGCACTGCAAGCTAGCTAATACTGTGCGCTCCACTAGCCCAGGAACACACTGTGCTAACCTGTAGTGGTTTGGATAGCATTCTGAGCCCCGAGACAACAGATGTAACACAAAATTCTCCTGCTGTGGTGACAGTGTCCTTCGGGACCGTCACACAGTAAGGAGAGAGAACACCTGACACAGTCGGGGTCACACTGGCCCTTGGGCCAGGCCAAGAGTGAGACTCACCCCACAGGCGCCTGGTATCCCTGCAGAGCAGGTCCTATCCTGCACCCCACCCACCGTCAAGAACTGGACTCAGGAAGGGTCTGGTACAGGCCAAAGGTACCCAACTCACGTGTGCTGGAGCTGTGAGTACAGCACGGGGCCTGAGGCAAAGCCCATCTGGCGTGGCAGCTGAGTGCCAGGTCCCACAGGTAAATGCGATCCGGAGCACCTTACTCTCTGCCTTTCGGTCTCTCTTCAGGGTAAAGCTCTGAAAACCTCTTTCAGTACTAAGAGTTTACGCTGGTTAAACTACCAACAGTGCCCTGAAACAGTAACATGCTAGAATATACAGCAGCGTACTGTCAGGTCACCTTTAAAGATGCCTTTTAAAAGAAACCAAACCAAAACAGGAACACACAGAACAGAGAATTCAATAGAAAGAGTCGGTATATATGGGGTGCTGCCATCCCCCCCATAAAGTCTTTAGAACAAACTAAATCGCACAATAAGAAGCTCAAAAACGATGTTCTAGTGGTCACACACGATACCAACCGCACCGCCGGCTTCTGGGCTTGGCTGACTGGGCTCTGGTGGGCGTGGGGGGAGGCTGCGGAAGGGTGAAGAAAAAACACTGCCGCTGGCTTTAAGGAGAGTGATGCGCTTCAAAGCAACTCCTAGGAAGTATTTAATGTTGGACAAAAACAAAATGTAGGCAGTCCCACGCCAAGAACTGTAACTGGCACTCATTCCTGATGTAGTCTAGTACTATGTAAAGAAAGTAAAGCTAACAGCATCACAGCTACAACTTTGATAATTATTCTACTGAAAAATATTCTACAATGTCTCTTGATGTCACAAGCCTCCGGTCAACCGAATGTCTAATCTTATAATGCCTGGAAGCTATTCCACTCTACTGTATACTCACATTCTACATCCAAAATGAATATTTGATGCGTTTTTTTAAATCTACCTGGATAATGCCAATAACCCATGAAAATATGCTCAACATCACTGGCCATCAGCGAAATGCAAAATGCACAGTAATTCTCTCGACACCTAGTAGAATGGTTAAAATGAAAACATGTGAGTAGACCAAGTACTGCCAAGGACACAGAGTAAGTGGAACTCACACACACCACTGGGACAACCACCATGGAGAACCATTTGTGGCTTTTTTAAGGAGTGAAACATACACCAATGTGTGAGCCAGCCATTTCACTCTTCAATATTTACCCCAAAGAAACAAAAGCCCACGCTCATACAAAGACTTGTACATGAGTCTTCATGGTACCTTTGAAAGAGCCGAAAGCTGCTAACAACTTCAGTGTCCACCACAGATGAACAATCAGCGAGCACAGCCATGGGACAGACTACTCCTCAGCAACAGAAAAGAGCGAACAGGCGAGCGTCTGGGCCCGCAGTTGAGCTGCTGTGTGGGACGCTGCATCCCACACTGCAGGTCCCAGTTCCACTTCCTGACTCCAGCTTCCAACCAATGCAGACTCTAGAAGCAGCACCTGATCAGTAACCGGGTTCCTGCCACCCACCTAGGAGACCTGGCTGGAGCTCTGGCTCCCAGCTTCAGCCAGAGCCAGGCCCAGGCCCAGGCCCAACAGGCATCTGGGGGATAAAACCAGCGGTTTGGAGTCCTCTATCTTCACTCTCTCTCTCTCACTGCCTCTCAAGTAAGTTAATGGTTTTGTAATTTCATCTATATAAAAGTACAGAAAACGCTATCTCACCTAACGTGAAAACAAGCGTATCAGCAATCACACAGAGCTGGGGACGGAGAGGATGGAAAAACCTGAGGGGTGAGGGAAATGCCTGTTTCTTGGCTGTGGGTGTTTTTGTGGGTGTGTACATGAAACTGATCAAATCAGACATTTTAAATGCATGTCCTCTAGTATGCCTCAGTAAAGGTGGGGGAGGGGAGCTACAATGACCTGAATTCTACCCATTGTTCTTTCAGGAGGTTTAAAGGAAAATTTCAAACGATGGTAACAAGAACGCACTTGAAGCTCTAAACATGAGCCAGCTTCGAGCCACAAAGTCTGGACTCGTCATGTGCACCGTCATCTGTGTCTTCATTTTTATTTATTTAAGGAATCCAATTCCTGAGGACCCGGAGGAGGAACCCACCTACCCAGCAGTAGTAGAATGTGGTTTTTACCCAGATGAACTGTGTTCAGCTTTATTTGAAGGCAAAGGGGCAGCCCCTCAAATTGCCAAATTCTGCAAAAATCCTCATCGATCTGAAATACTTGCTCACTTACGCAGCCCAGGAAACTGCTCCAGGATCTCCCACGGGCTGCGTTTCATAACCAGGCCCCTGTCTGCAGAAGAGGGCGCGTTCTCTCTGGCGTACATTATAACTGTTCCTAGGGAGCTGGCCACCTTCGTGCAGCTGCTCAGGGCGACGTACGCCCCCCAGAACGTTTACTGCATCCACCTTGATGACAAGGCCCCAGGGAAGCACAGGGCCGCTGTGCAAACGCTCGCTGACTGCTTTGAAAACATTTTTATTTCATCCGAGAGAGAGGAGGCAGCTGATGCTGGCTTCACAAGACTACAGGCAGATATTAACTGTATGAAAGATCTAGTCCATTCCAGATTTCAGTGGAACTATGTCATTAATCTTTGCGGACAGGATTTTCCAATCAAAACCAACAAAGAAATCATACACTACCTCAGAAGCAAATGGAATGATAAAAATATCACTCCGGGGTCAACCCAGCCACCAAACATTAAATCTAAGACAAGTCCAAGTCCCCCCAAATCTAGCCCTGAAGAATACATCCATGTGTCTCCAAATAGAAGGTTCAGAGCTGAGCCACCCCATAACCTAACGGTTTATTTCGGAAGTGCTTACTTCGCACTTACGAGAAGGTTTGTAGAGTTCATACTGACTGACATCCGTGCAAAAGACTTGCTTCAGTGGTCCAAAGACATCGACAGCCCAGAGCAACACTACTGGGTGACCCTGAACCGGCTAACAGGTAAGGACGGTCCCCCAGCACAGGGGCCTGGCTCCTGGCTTCGGATCAGCATAGCGCCGGCCGTAGCGGCCATTTGCAGAGTGAACCAGCGGAAGGAAGACCTTTTTCTCTGTCTCTCTCTCTCACTGTCTATATCTCTACCTGTCAAGTTAAAAAAAAAAAAAAAAAGAAAAATAAATACAAAGTGAAGCCCCCCCCCCTTTTTTTTTGACAGGCAGAGTTAGATAGTGAGAGAGACAGAAAGGTCTTCCTTTGCCGTTGGTATACCTCCTAAATGGCCGCTACGGCCGACACACCATGCCGATCCAAAGCCAGGAATCAGGTACTTCCTCCTGGTCTCCCATGGGGTGCAGGGCCCAAGCACTTGGGCCATCCTCCACTGCACTCCCGGGCCACAGCAGAGAGCTGGACTGGAAGAGGAGCAACTGGGACAGAATCCGATGCTCCAACCGGAACACAGCCACACTCATTCCCTGGGCGTACTGTTCATGACAGTGAAGGGCAGAACCCGGGGTGCCGGTGCCGCAGGTGGAGGATTAGCCTAGTGAGCTGCGGTGCCAGCTGAAGCCGTTTCTATGGCCAGTGTAGTCCACTTCACCCGCCCCTGAAAGTGCTAACCTACTCTCAGAATTAGCAAATGACCAATTTTATCAAGAATGGCGTTTCCTGCTTTCTCACTGACTACCTCATCCAGGGGAAACGGAAATGACAGCACAGAACCTGTACTGGCAGAGCTGGAGCAGAACACTGATTCCTGGTTTCTCCCCTAGATGCTCCAGGTGCCACTCCGAGTGCTGGCTGGGAAGGACACATCCGAGCTATTAAATGGAGAAACGAGGAAGGAAGCGTTCATGACGGATGCAAAGGTAAAACCCAAACTAAAGACCCCTTCAAGTTTTATAAACTATTCAGCTGTTGCCTTAAGTACAGTAAAGACTCACGGCCGTTTTTATACCAAATCTGGAATTAGTAATGATTCAATTATCATAAACTTTTCCATATAGAATAACACACAGGTTATAGATATACAGGCTAATAAATCTTAAATAGAAACCCACAGGCTCCCCGCCTTTTTCTACCTGTTCCTGGAATTCAAACTCAAACACTGACGAGAATGAGCTCTGCCTCCCTCTCCCCTCTGCTGGGACACAAACTGCGTGACAGAGGTGCACACTTCTGGGCAGTCAGGGAACTGCTGCCGGCTGCTTACTTTTACAGTAGTTTTACTGCAACACAGCCACACTCATTCCCTGGGTGTACTGTTCATGACAGTGAAGGGCAGGACGGAGGAGCTAGGCCAGAGACCCTTAGCCCAGGTCCACAAAACCAGAAATATTTCTGCTGTGGCCTGAACAGAGAGCCTGCTACACCCGCTGGCCCAGAGCAGAGGGCTTCACATTCTGAAACAGGGAGCAGATGGCATGACGGGCCTCACTGTGGCAGGCCTGTGTTTTCCACCTCCTAAAAATCTTATGTGTTTGGAATCAGTTTTCTCGGAGTCATGAATGATGTTCAATTCATAGACTCTGTCACAGGACCTCTCTGGCAAAGGCAGACCTCGTGGTCAAGCCGATCAAAGCTAAGACGGTTTCTTCTCCCAGAGTCTGACTTGCGGATTACTACGCACTCTTGCCCTGTGCTCCTCACCGGGGAGGTGGGGCGCTCTCCCTGTTCCTGGGGCAGGAAGCTCCTTGCTCAGCCCGGGGGAGCTGCTCCCCGAGGAACAATGAACTCGCCTGTATCCTCCGTTAGTGTCCCTGAGGTTTAGTTACCAGCGTGACACAGCAAAGCAGGATCGGGAAGGGGGATGGTGCCCCTCCCGCGTGAAAGGTTTGGTAGGAACTGGCAGAGGGCAAAGGGGTTCTCAGCCTGTGGATTCTGGGGGATACCTACAGGGTGAGCACCTGGAACGTGGCTCCTGTGGGGTTACTCATGCCAGCTCTGGAGGGTGGAAGGGGAGGGCTTAACTCGCTCCCCCGACCCCATCGCCGTTGGAAGGTGGTGGCTTGACAGGAAAGTTCTGAGGAATGCGTACAGCAGAGATGCGCAAGTGCTCCAGGGCAGTGCGTGAAGGGAAGGAGGCCGAGGCGTGCGCCTGCCCTGTGGAGGGCTATGATCCTGGCAGACCCAGGTCTCAGCACGACTCAGGCAAACTCTCTGGAGGTGGCTACTGCCGAGCGTCCCTCCTGAAGGCTGTCTGGGCCCTGCCAATGCCTGCAAGCAGCTTCCTAACACTGGGAAGGGACCATGGCGCAGACGCATGTGACCTAGTGCAACAGCGCATTTGGGGAAGGCCCGGGGTTTGAATACATGAACGAGACATGCATGACAAACTAGGTTCAGCCAGTGTCCCAGCTGGTTAGCAGACCAACCATGAGCAAACAGGTTAGGGACAAATAGAAAATGCAAACCCAAGCCCCAGAATAGTTCAAGATGAGTAACTCCTGCTGCCTGTGCACCACCAGCCTCCTGACAGGGACCAGGTCAGAAGGGCTGGAAGAACCCCCCAGGGAAGGATTTGGAAAAGGCAGGCATGATTGAGGGAGGGGGCTGTTTCCACAGCACAAAGGCTGACCCTGCCCACTCTCTGGGAAGCAGGTGCTCACCGCCCTCCCATCCTGCGGCTGTCAGGAGCAGTGCCCTCAGGTGTGGGGGTGGCCTAAGAGGTCGTGGAAGACTGTGGCTACCAGTAATAAAGGACTGTTTCACAGTGGCAACCGGGATGCTCCAACAATGTTGAAAAAACCCTGGCTACTGTAAATTCTAACAAAGCCACACTGCCCACGAGGAAACACCTCGGAACTCTTACCATCGCTGGCAGCAGCGTGGGGACTGTTCAGCAAAGCAGGGATGCAGCCATCTGGGCAGCACGCAGGCAGCGCTGACTCAGGCCAAGCACCGGCTAGGACGGTGGGGACCTTCCGGAGAAGGCCTGGCTCTGGGCCTGCACTCGGCCCGCACAGCAACTCCCGGGTAGAAACTATTGCCATGAGCCCCGTGCAGAGGAAACCCAGGCTTGGAGAAGCGAGGTCACTCCAACAGGGAAGAGACAGAGCTGGTCTCAGGCCAGACGCAGCTGCCTGCTGCCGCTACCTGGGCTAGCTCAGCCCGACTCTGCACGCAGAACGCCAGCCGTCCCGGGACAGTCATCAACAAAGGGTTCATTTATTTTTAATCACCCAGATGGCATTAGTGTAACTGAAAATGTCTCATTTGTTTGTGCTCCCTTCCAGTTCAAATCCCTATGTATCTAAATTACAGCTAGATGGCTATAATCTAGGTGTAGCTGATCCTTTTCCTACTGACTTCATAAATGCTTTGTAATGCTCGTCTTCTAATTCCTAACTCTCATCTGGTTAAGTATAATCCACTGAGATTCTACCACACGGTAGCAATGTTTACCAGTTAAAGAACCACAAGCATGTAAAGCTGCTCACCATGACAAGTGCCTTCCGACTTTCTCCGTCTTACAAACAGCCCTGAGCTGGCCGGCGCCGCGGCTCACTAGGCTAATCCTCCGCCTAGCGGCGCCGGCACACCGGGTTCTAGTCCCGGTCGGGGCGCCGGATTCTGTCCCGGTTGCCCCTCTTCCAGGCCAGCCCTCTGCTGTGGCCAGGGAGTGCAGTGGAGGATGGCCCAGGTGCTTGGGCCCTGCACCCCATGGGAGACCAGGAAAAGCACCTGGCTCCTGGCTCCTGCCATTGGATCAGCGCGGTGCGCAGGCCGCAGCGCGCCGGCCGCGGCGGCCATTGGAGGGTGAACCAACAGCAAAGGAAGACCTTTCTCTCTGTCTCTCTCTCTCACTGTCCACTCTGCCTGTCAAAAAATAAAAAAAAAAAATAAAAAAAAAAAATAAAAAAAAAAAAACAACAAACAGCCCTGAGCTAGTCTGGTCATGAAATGCCCTCCTTCATTTTGAATAACATTCCCTTAAGACAGGTTTTCAGAAGCAGGATTCTGGGCTGGTCTGGGGAACAGGGCAGGAGCTAGCGGAGAGAGAATGAGGTCTCAGGAATGGAAGGGACAGGCCTCACCCTCACAAAGCTGACACCTCCTTTCTCTAAATCTGGTGACGACAGACTCCAAGTCGCAGTGCTGTTGTGAGGACTGAGAGAGTAAAAGAGCCAAACCTGGTATCAGGCACATAAAAAGTGCCACTGAGTTCATCTCAAAGGAGCAGTCAGTTCTGGATTCTAACTGTAGCTCCTGTTTTAATTACTTATATTTATATTAACTGTTCACTCTGAAAAACCAGTGAGAGGAGCCATGACTCATGAAAACCTACCCTTAACCAAGGATAGACTTACCACTAACAGAGTGAAAATGTCTCTTTCCTTCATAAAGTAAAAATCAAAGCCCCCATCATAGCAGTTGTGGAAATGCTGTTTAACTCGAATTCTGGGGAAGCCGAGAGGCAGGCAGTGAGGCCTCTGGTTTCCTTTCCAGGTCACTATGCGCAGGACACCTGTGTGTACGGACCAGGGGACCTGCCATGGATCATTCAGTCGCCATGTCTGTTTGCTCACAAATTCGAGGCCTCGGCAGACCCGCTCGTGGTCACGTGCCTGGAGAGGCGGCACAGACTGAAGGTTCTACGGCAGGCAGAAGTCCCCGTGGAGCCGCACTGGCACTTCCAAGAGGAAAGTCCTTTCAACATGAGGCTGGACTGCTAGAGACAGCTGGCTTTCTCACTGCCTCCACTCTGTCCCTGCGTGGAAACAAGAGGACACTGGACCACAGAGGAGAGAATGGGAAATGACCCCTTCCTGCAAGCATCCCGAAGAGGTCAGAAACATGCTACCAATGGACTTCCAGTGGCTACAGGCCACTTTTACAGCTTTGGGGACACAACTCAAGGACACAACTCAAGTGACCACCGGGGCAGGAACAGAAGCACCCGGAAGGCCAACTGCTTCTGTGAGCAGAGGCTGAGAACCACACTTCTCCACATGCGTAGAGCCAGATTCAAGCTGCCGACAACAACACACCACGTTCTAGAGGCATGGACGCTACTGTGTATGAGCTAATCAAGAATAAACTCCCACTGATGAAAATGTGCCGATCAAAAATGGCCCAGGTCAGCCAAGAACAGCGTAACTTCAGGATGACAATCCCACAGTATGTTTCTTCTAAAAGTTTTGTCTGTAATTTTAATTTTATTATTTATTTGAGGGAGACAGAGAGTGGGTGCGTGAGCAAGAAAGCACTCGCATCTGCTGCTTCTCTCTCCAAATGCCCACAATGGCTGGGGCTGAGGTAGGCTGAAGCTAGGAGCCGGGAACTCAACCCGGGTCTTGAGAGTCTATTTCTCTGAGTAAAATGAAATTAATCTGGAGAGGGAAACACAAGGTCTTAAGAAAGCTGCCCTAAACTTCTGTAATTTTTTAAAAGATTTATTTATTTATTTGAAAGGCAGAGTTACAGAGAGGCAGAGCTTCTTCCTGGTCTCCCACATGGGTGCAGGGGCCCAAGGACTTGGGCCATCTTCTACTGCTTTCCCAGGCCATAGCAGAGAGCTGGATGGGAAGTAGAGCAGCTGGGACTCGAACCAACGTCCATATGGGATGCCGGCACTGCAGGCGGCGGCTTTACTTGCTACGCCACAGTGCTGGCCCCCTTAATTTCATTTCAATGTCAATGCATAGTTACTCAGTCTTCGAAGAGGGCTAGACAAGGGTCTCTGCCCAGCAGGCTGCAGAGAGGAAGCGGAGACACACGGAGACAGCGAGGGAGGCAGACCTGGGATCTGGACCAGGCAGGTCCATCTTTCCTCTCGCCAAGAAGGGTGGACCCAAACACACCTGCCCCCAGCAGGCTCAACCCCCCACACTGAAAGAAGCTTCCCGAACCAACCATTTCAGTAAAGCATGGCAAAGTAAAGACAATACACGTGGCACAAGGCACAGTGGAGCAGGCAGTGTGAGACGCCCGCTTCAGCGGAGTGTCCAGGGAGGGATGAGCAGAGGGGCTGACAGGCCAGCAGCCCTTCTCACGTGTCCTGCGATTCCCTGAGGCCTGACAGCAGAGCATAAAGATGGCAGACGTGAAGGAGGCCAAAGCCAGAAAAGGGTGCAGCTGACCACTTTGGGGGTGCACTCTTCCCCTCAGCTTGACTTTTCCCCCTCCCTTTCCACCACCTCCGTGAAAAGAGCGTAAAGAAGCCACAAGTCTGCATTTTTTTGTCTTACTGCTGACTTTGAAACACTGACCGCTCCATTCACCTATCTACTAAGCCTAACTAAACAAGAGAGCCAGCAAACTCGCAGGCCGAACGCCACTTACTGATCACACCCCTAGTGTCTCCATCAGCAATTCTGTACCTTCACTGAGTACACAAACCATCTGGGCTCTCGGGGTAAAATGCAGATTCTATTTCAGTAGGTCTGGGAGGCCCAAGAGTATGTCTTACATACAAACAGACAATTCCAAGGTGATGCCAAGACTGCAGGTCTGTGGCTCACGCGTTGAGTAACAAGCACATTTCTTACTTGGCAACCTGTAATTACCCCCAGTGTGTTTTGTATCTTAAGAAGCAAAGAACACAGTGGGGAATACAATTAATTTTTTAGCTAGTGATTTGTTTATAGTAAAACAAAAAAACCTAGCAACTACATCTCTGCACTCTGCTTACTGAAATCAAGTAGGCACACCTTCTGTTAGAACATGGAACCAAATCTCTTTCAAACCCTCAAGTTTCTTCCAGTGAGCTGAAAAGTCAGATTATTGGTGAAACTATGGGCTGTGCAAAGAAAACACTCGCCCGAAACGCCACAGAAGTTCCTGGCACTGTTCCTAGACGCTGACTTCTCTAAATTTCAGATACGACAGTAATGCAGCACATCGTGAAGTTTCAGGTGACGACAGATTACAAATGCAACAGTGTCTGCGACGATCAGAACAGGGCTGCAAACTTCCTGTGTCTGCACTGCGTCCTAACAGTGCAGCCTAACAGGTTACTCCCATCTGCAGAGGTGCTGGTGTCAGCAAACTCACTGCACCGCCAGCTGGATAAAAGTAGGGCACACACAGTCAGGCAGTGCCCTGACCACACGCCTGTGTTACCAGCTGATCACTGTCTCAGCGTGCACTTCTACTTAGAAAATAAAAAAGCTTACCACAAGACAGCACGCTGTGCTACACTGGTAGCAGCCTCACGCACCTCGTCTTCACCTGTGTTTTGACTGCATCAGGAGGCCACGTCCAGTGACTGGTCCACACCTTCCAGGTGTGTCTATGTACACTATGACGTTCACCCACAATGATGAAACCTCTGAGTGATGCAACTCTTAGAACATAACCCTATCATTAAGCAAGGCACGGATGTATTTAAAAAAATAAAAATACGTGTTTTAGGTCTTGGCCCTGCGGCTTATTCTTCTTCCATTCCCATTTGCATGCTGCACAGTGGTTCCCGGAACTGCACCTGTCTGACAGAAATGGCTGATGCGTGCCCCTTCTTGCTGGGCACACAGTTAGACTACATTCCCCAAGCTTGCTCCAGCACAGTCACATGTTGTGGGCAGCCACAGGCAGTCGCCCCCTTTGTTTGCACTTCAACATATGAATGGAGACTTCCTGGCACAGACAATTGGGCTAGGGAGATTCCGGCAAGAGGCAGGAAGAACCTAAACCTTTCACAAGAGATGATATAGATAATCAGTCACACCTGAAACCTGCATTTATCACCTAAGTGTTTTATTGTACCCTTGTAATCAGTAATTAAGAACCTTATCGGGAACTCTTTATAACCTTAAAAGCCTTTTTGATATGTAAATCTTTTGTGCTCCTTCTTGTAAACAACTGGTCATGTTTAAATACTACTGGACTTGTTCAATAAACGAGCCTTGATCAGGACTTGTCTTGGCTCCATTCTTTGCGTCCTTGTCCCCGTATTCCCACTCTCTGTTTCAGGAAACCCAGTTCATCGTGCTGCAGGCTGGCACAACGTGTGGCCACATGACTGAGTTCTGGCCAACAGAATGTGAACAGAGATGAGTGTGTCACTTCCAGGCTTAGCCCAGAAAAGACTTGGAAGGCAGATGCTCCGTCCTCTTCCTCCTCAAAGGGAAGAGGACTGCAGAGGGCAGAGCCCCAGAGCAGTGAGAGCTGACTCCTCAAGCTACTCTGGAGGAAAGCTGCCCAACCAGGAACTTGGCTGCATTTGTCCCTGGAATTCTTTTTTTTTTTTTTTTTTAGATTTACTTACTTATTCGAAAGGCAGAGTTACACAGAGGCAGAGAGAGAGAAAGACAGGTCTTCCATCCACTGGTTTACTTCCCAAATGGCCACAATGGCCAGATCTGGGCCAATCCAAAGCCAGCAGCCAGGAGCTTCTTCCAGGTCTCCCACATGGGTGCAGGGGCCCAAGGACCTGGGCCATCTTCTACTGCTTTCCCAGGCCACAGCAGAGAGCTGGATGGGAAGTGGAGCAGCTGGGACTCAAATAGGCACTCATGTGGGATGCCAGAACTGCAGGCAGTGGTTTTACTGCTACGTCACAGTGTCAGCCCCTACCCCTAGAATTTGAGCACTGTTTGTTTAGCAGCTGGCTCTAATCAACAGACTTAGTGCTACGAATTTCAGAGACTTTAAATTAGGAATTGGGGTTTGACTCTTGGTAACGGCATGAATTCATCATTCCATTCGTTCATTTTTAGCTGTTCTATTTACAATGCTGGATCTGAAAGGAACCATCTGAGACTTTCCTGTAATTGCTTCATTTCATATGTTAGACTCTGAGGCCGAGAGGGGGCAGCGACAGTCAAGGCCGGAGCTGGTGTGCGAGCCAGACGGATACACACGGGCTCTCCACGTGGGCTGTGCTGCGGCCCAAATGTGCTCCCTCAAAGACCACGTCAGGTAGTCAGACCCCATCACAGTGGTGCTCGCAGTGGGGCTTTTCGAGGCCTTGTTCACAGAGGGATGATTCTAAAACCAGCACATACCCAGTCTGGGTGAAGGCTGCCCTCTGGCCTCCCACTGCTCTCAGAATACAATCCGGAAGCACCCACGTGGCCACCCCGCGTGAGGTGGTCCTTGCTAGCTCTGCTCCTCCTCTGCTGCCCCCTCCCCCAGCCACCTTCTGTTCCTGGAACTGGCCAAGCGCCTGTCTCTTCTGAGCTCCTGCACATGCGGCTCCTGCTGCCCATGCTTTGCTGGCCGGCTCCTCAGTCCCCTCAGGACTTACTGACACCTCCAGAGACGCCTTTGCTGACCACCACCACGGTGGCCGCCCTCCCTCCACTGTATCACGCCGTGTGCTTCCTTCCAGTCATCTGCCCTGCTCACGTGTCTGAGTGTGCATCTCTGCAACTGGCAGAGACCTCCATGGACCTCTCCAACAGGACAGCCCACCCAGCAGTACCTAGGACAGGGCCCGGCCCAGAGCAGGTGCTCAATGAAGTCTGCTGCCTGAAAGAATAATTCACAAAAAACAATAGGGGTCTAATGAAACCCTGATCCCGTCAGGACTACTGGCATCTGTGACATTACACTGAAGGCCAGGCCGGCAACACACCAAAGACACAAACGCTCTGGGCTCCAGCAGCAACACTGTCGGAGCAAAGCCATCAGCACCCCCTCCACGTGAACTGAGGACACAAACTCCCAGACCAAGTTCTCTGCTCACTCACACAAGCACTCACGGAGGGCGTGCTCCAGAGACACAGATGCACAAGTCTCGGACCGTGGCCCTAAAAACTCAGCCCGGAGGGTCTCCTGACACATAAATCCATCATCGACATAATACAATATCGACAAATTAAACAATGGTGGGGTGAGATAACAAGGTGCCCAGGGAATGAGGAAGAACGCTCCAAGGAAGCCAGAGTTCAGGCACTGAGGCTCACGGCAGGACAAGGGGCAGGAGGCGCGTTCACCAACAGCCCGGGTGTGGTCTGACCTGGCCAGCTGCTGCTGGTCACTGAGTCGGAACCTCTAGCAATGAGGAACCACGGAAGGGTTTTTTAAGCAGAGAGGTAACTTACTGAATCTGTTTCAGAAAGAACTTAAGGCTCTTTAATGACAGAGGGAGGGACCCTAAGCCATCTGATTTCCTCAGCTACTAAGAACAAACAAATTGGATATGTCAAGAACTCACCGTGTGGCAAACTTCTGCTTTTATCTCTTTCAAAGCTCGTTCAGAAAACACACAACCACAGCACCGGAGGAAGCAAAACCTGGAGGAACAGTCCAACATGGAGAATGACAAATAAGAACTTAAAAAAACTTGCCCACATTGTCAATTAACATTTGTTGGGTTTACACAAAGGCCAAGGACCACAAACACAAGAAAAAGGTTACATTTTATTACATTAAAAAAAAAAAGTGTGGGGGCCAGCATTGTGGTGCAGCCAGTTAAAGCCTCTGCCTGTGACCCAGGCGACCCATCTGAGCGTCAGTTCGAGCCCTGGCCGCCTCACTTCTGGTCCAGCTCCCTGCTAATGCGCCTGGGAGAGCAGCAGAAGACGGCCCCAGTGCTTGGGCCCCTGCACCCACGTGGGAGACCCGGAAGAAGCTCTGGGCTCCTAACTTTGGCCTGGCCCAGCCCTGGCCATTGTGGCCATTTTTGGGGGTGAACCAGTAGATGAAAGATCTCTGTGTGTCTCCTCTCTCTGTAGCTCTGCCTTTCAAAAAAAAAAAAGTGTCCAAAATTTACAAAGTACTTATCAAATAAATACAAAACCACAAATATAAAAAGTCAAAAGGCAGAACAGACACTTGGGGAAAATAATGAGATTAAATGGTTAATTTAACCAATATTCAAAGCCCCCCCCCTCACCATCCCCCTTTTTAAAAGGTTTTATCTATATCTTTGAAAGGACAGATAGAATCTTCCATCCACTGGTTCACTCCCCAAATGGCTGCAATAGCTGAAGCTAGGCCAGGCCAAAGCCAGGAGCCAGGAGCTTCCTCCTGGTCTCTCACTTGGGTGCAGGGGCCCAAGCACTTGGGCCATCTTCTACTGCTCTCCCAGGTGCATTAGAAGGGAGCTGGATCCAAAGTAGAGCTGCTGGGACTCAAACCAGCGCCCATATACAGAAGGCTGTTTGGAAAGAATACATGTGTGTTCATGTTTGTCTACAGAGGCATGGGGAAGTCTGGATACAGGTGGGACAAAGAGAAGTGGAATTAGTCACAAACAGCTAACGATGCTACCTTTGGAGCTAGGATCCGGGGAGAGGGGAATAAAGCATTGCTACGGTTTACTCTATGGATTCCTCTGAAAGTGACACAGTGGGATGTTCTCTAATTTCCCAGGGATTAGAGCAGACACAGAGTGCCTCAATAAAAATCCAATCAGAATATTATAGTAAATTTATTAGATGTTGTTTACGACAAGGAAAAAAATCCTATCTTATGAATGTTTAGTAAGTACTAGGAAATTACTTTTCTGTAGCCAAAGTCTCAATGTTTTTATTATACTAGCAATTTATTAGTATTTTTCTGTATACTTAAATCTTTATTACAAAAACTTTACTAAATATGCAAACTAATCCAAAAATCCATTTCCTGGTGCAGAGGCACTATTAATCACAGGAGGACAAAGCCAAAATAGGCAGAGCTCAATTAGGCGGGAAGAGAAAAACGAGAAGAACCAGCAAACGAAAGGAAAAACCCAGGGGAACTTACAGTCAGGACACAGGCTCAAAGTAACTCCTGTTCACGACCCCACAGCTGAGCCTGGTCCTACTGAGTTCCCCTTTCAGGGTGAGCCACGGTTTTCTTGAGAAGTGGGAAACCAGACACAAAAGGTCACATATTGTGTGATTTTGTGCACAGGAAATATCTGGAAGAGGCAGAGCCATTGAGACGGACAGCAGATTGGTAGTTGCCAGGTTTTCTATTTACGTATTTACTTTTAGTGATAAAAATGTGTTGGAAGAAGACAGAGGTGATACTGCATGACAGGGTGAATGCGCTGAATGCAAGGGACGTCCATTTAAAATGGTCAGTTTTGGGCTGCGTGACTTTCCCTTCAGCACATGGATGTAAATAAATAACATATAAAAAGCAGGACAAGATTACGTACGAGTCTAGTTCCTCAGTGAATTCCCTGCTTGACCCAAATGGTGAAGCTTAAGAGAAAGTCCTAAATGATTTAAATTCAGATATTTGAAGAAGAGTATAAACTTTGAAAGCAACAGGTCTTTGGGGCTCATGTCTTACTTCTCCCCCAGTATACAACGCAGCTGGCAATTAGTCTCTCCGGTGCAGTCTGCCACACACCACACGCAGCCTGGCATGAGAGAAGGTGCCCACACACATCTGTTAAATGAATGCATTCAAATGTGCCAGGGCGTGCGTGATTAGGCAAGTTCACAGCCCGCGAGTCTTTACTTACTGGAGCTGCTCTTCCCCCGCCCCTCCCTGAATGAAACTAATAAAGAAATGCTGCCTTCAGTACGCTGTGTGTTAAACAGAGGATCCCAGAAGACTGCCTGCTACTAAAGACACTTCTGAATGGTGGGAGACAGCTTATGAAAAGGCCCCAAATCTCATCAACATGTGTATTTTTAAAAGAAAACACCGTCACTCGTATTTGCTAAATAAATCTCTACTGTAAGGTTTCCCATGCGTTAGTCAGGATTTCTCAGCTGCAAGTTCACGGCAAGTCATCCTATCTGCTGGGACTTCAGCCGCCTGACAACCACGTCCTGTAACACCGTGTGCCAGGGCACAAGCTCCCCCACTCTAAGGAATGGGACATGCTCGATGGCAGCATCTGCCCCCTAGGAAAAGATGAACAAATAACTAAGCTCAGATCTCACACATTTCACTTGGGAACTTTCCAGAAACCTGAGTTTTTCCTGTTCTCAAGTACAGTGGGTCTGGAAGTCCCAGGACACTAGCTGACAGGAAGAACCTCCGGCTGCCGCAGAGAAATCTGTGGGACTACTAAGCTCCCGCAGAGGTCTCCGCGGGCCTGTGTCATTCACCAGCCCCCACGTCACCCACACCGTGTCCACGCCTGACCTGTGCCGCCCATTCATCTCCAGGCCCACCACCGGGCAGATGAAACGTGCTCGCTGGAGGTCGTCATGCTTGTCACCTTTTGTGCTTTCTTTATCCCCCTCCCAGGCTGGATTATCAGAAAGCTTCAGTTCTGTCACATTCTGTAAAAAACCATTCATGTTTTTAAGAATTCATTTGGCAAAGAAATCATCTTCCCCCCCTAATGACTGATTAAATCAAAGGAGGGTCAGCTCTTCTAGTACCTTCCCAACCAAGCCTCTTTGGGCTACTTTCCCTTGGCCATCAGGAGACATGGACATAAAAGTAAATCACTAATTATATAGAAAACAAAATTTTTATACCATTCTTCATTTATTTATTTATTTATTTGAGATAGAGTGTTCCCAATCTCTGGTTCACTCCCCAAACACCCACAATGGCCAAGGCGAGGCTGGGCTGGAGTTGGGAGCCAGAAAGTCAATCCAAGGGGTCGGCACTATGGCATAGCAGGTAAAGCCACCACCTGCAGTGCCGGCATCCCATAAGGGCGCCGGTTTGAGTCCCAGCTGCTCTACTTCCGATCCAGCTCTCTGCTATGGTCTGGGAAAGCAGTAGAAGATGGCCCACATCCTTGGGCCCCTGCACCTGCATGAAGACCCGAAAGAAGCTCCTGGCTCCTGGCTTCAGATTGGCTCAGTTCCGGCCGTTGTGGCCAACTGGGGAGTGAATCAGCGGATGGAAGACCTCTCTCTCCCTCCCTCTCTTCTCTCTGTGTAACTCTGACCTTCAAATAAATAAATAAATCTTAAAAAAAAAAAAAGAAATTAGCTTCGCAGTGTTTGCGTTAGCAGCTCTGCTCTAGCATTCAAGGCATTTCTTCATATTTAACCAGGTAATTTTGAGTTCACCCTTTGAGAGCTGAGTGCCTTAAAAGGAAAGCCACCCTTCACATATGCCACCTGCTTCCTGGCGACAACACACTTTTCATCACGCTCTCTGCCAGCAGTGTTGGTGGACTGCTCACTGTCAGTAATGATGACTTCATGTATCTGCACTATTTGATTTGAATCCTTTTTCCTTATTATTTCAACTTTTTGGAGTTTTTTTTTTTTTTAACATTAAAGGTTCAATCATATATTGTATGTGTGTTTAAGAACAGAATTGTAGGATCTAATTTCAATAATAACAATTTTTGAGGTTATTTCAAGCAACTATGGGTTTTTCAGGATGAATTTCTTCCAAGAAAAGAGATAACTACAATTTCTATAGCACTACCACTGGCAACACTTCAGAGTTATTAATTTTCCTGAAATGAACACATCCTATAATCAGTTGAATAAATCAAACAAAAAATTAATATATTAAAGAGGGAAAAAGGAAAAACCTGAATTCTCAGATCAGAAGCCAAGGGAACTGGTCCTGGTTTAAGCATCTTAACAACCTGCCATGTGACCCCATGGGAATTACTGACAGGGAGATGAGGGGTTTGACTAGGCTAACTGATGCTTGTCAGAATCACTAACTTTCCTCACTCATTAGATTTGAAAAATTTTGTTTCCTAAACAAACTTTATTAAGAAAACCCATTTTTACACTTTTAAAAAGAATTTTCAGAGCAGATGTTTAGTCTAGCATTTAAGACTCCCGTCTCCCACACTGGAGGGCCTGGATTAACTTGTGGCTCCAGCTCCTAACTCTAGCTTCCTGCCAATGCAAACCTGGAAGGCAGGTAACTAGGTTCTCACTACCCACATGAGAGACCTGGATCGAGTCATTAGCTCCCAGTTTGGCCCTGGTCCAACCCCAGCTGTTGTGGGCATTTTGGAAGTGGAACAGCAAATGAGTGCTTGCTCTCTCTGCCTGTCTTAGGAATTTAAAAAATAAAAAAGCAAACAAACAGGAAGACAACTTCAGCTGCCAGTCAGAACCTCTACAGTAGGAGGTAACCACTATGATTTAGCAGTAATCTACCTACACAAAATTCTCTCATCTTATGAAAGTGTCTTCCAATCCAAAATCGTAGCAAGTCTTCATCACGAGATAACGCCTCCTAACCCTCACAGAGCACATCCCAGATTTTCAAAGCGTGTGCACACACAAGATAGCACAACAGATTCACAATGCAGCAAGCACAGGTGTGGGAACTCCTGACCTCCTCCCAAGGTCACAGCTGGACGAGGTGGCCGGGTGGGACCAGAAGCCCAAATTTCTGCGTTTGGTCTGTGACATGCGTGAGTTCTGTAAAAGTAACCTCAACCGCTGACCCCCGGACACTCTGGAATCACCTGTCTCACCTTAATGCTCTTGATGTGAGACGCTGCCTTTCCAACAGCCTTTTCAGCAGACTTGTCCAGCAGAAATTCAATGACAGCATCTTTGTTATAAAGTCTGCAACAACAGGACTCGTTCAGTTAGGGCAGCAGCATCAACTCTGAACCAACAAGCACAACAGGCGGAATCAATTGGACATAATCCCAAAGTCCTGCACATCTGATACACCTTCTTTCACTAACAAGACACAGACACTGTAGACCAAGGCCAGCACACTGGAGCACGAGGGTCGAATGCAATGCAAAGAGAGATTCTGAAAATCCCAAATTCAATTTAAAAGTATGATTTCTTCTTTCTTGAAAAATAAAAATCAGAAGACCTGGAATCACGAGGCCCACGCTGTTTAACAGAAGGAACTGGCTGGAACTGAGTAGCAGCTGGTTCTCCCCACCTCTCCTGCTATACCTCATGTGGGTCCCGCATGCATTTATGGTTATAATTTAACTCCTATTGGCCTCTGAGTTTTCATATCACAGATTTTTAAATAAACCAAATGGATTAGGAGGGTGCAGGATTACGTTCAGAACCAGGGAATGATAACCTGTGCTTCACAAAATTTGTTTGGAAGAATTCCTATGTGGTGAGACAAGAGATGCACTCAGACATTCAAGTAATTAAAATCATTAAATAAACTCATCTTGATTAAGTAAAGGGACCATACCTGCCCAGTTCACAGGCAACTATCGGTCGTCTTAATATTTCTTGGCTTAGAGTACAATAGTTCCACTGGGCCACTAATTCAGCATCTTTGTCAACCTAGAAAAGATGACAAAAAATCCTCTTAATTAGTTTTCCCTCTGAAAGATACATGGTCCAGCATTACACATAAAAATTTATCAACAATACCATACTGTGATGATTTTTGTTTTTTAAATGAAAAAAAAAATGGCATATGAAGAGGGGATTTTAAAAGTCACAATAATTAACACTACATGAAATAATGCCTGTCTAAATGTGTCAAATACAAAGAACTGTCACTGAACTGTTTATGCAGGCTACACAAATATTAACGTTTGCACTTTAACACTAAACTGTGCTGGCCACACAGGGAAAAAAAAGCGACCAAGCACATGCATTTCTAACCATGGGACAAGCTCCAACATTATAGCGTAATTTAAAGGCCAAGAATTGAGAAGACAGGTGATTTTTTTTCAAAGTTCAGCACAAATACTATATAAATCTTTATAAAATGACCAATTTAACAGGAATAAATGCTTTTAGCTTATTCACTAAGGGACATATCAAATCGTGTCTCCTGTTCTGCTTTAACTGTCTCCACCAAAACACACTGACATTTAATCCCACTAAAGCAGAAGACCAAGAGCTGCTCTGTCCTTTCACAGAACACGGGTTCTCTCAGGATGGCTCTGTCCTCGAAGCCGTCCGTCTCCTGCGGGAACTCCCTCTTGCTGTGGCCCACAGCGCCGCCCTGGTCCTCTGCACAGAGTCCCTGCCAGATGTGCTCAGCCTCAGACTGCTCAGCCTTCAGAGCTGTAAGAGACGCTTCTTTCCTGTGGGGAGCAACTCGGACTATACTGTTACTGGAATTAAGACTTATTCTATGCATCTGCTCTCCCACAATATGGCACTGGGAGAGGAGGAAACAGCTTCTACACAGCTGCCTCTCACCAACTTGACAAGCTGCAGGAGCTGCTCCTGATTGGAGGAGAGCAGCGTACTCGGCGTGTGGGTAGCAGAGTTGGGATTGGTGGAAGAGGACTATAAAGGAGGAGAGAGACAACATGCACCAGGAACATCTATCTGAAGGAACACCTGTGCAGCCCCCGAGAGAGCCGGCCGGCGGTGTGCCGCTCCCCCGCGGAAGTGGGGAAAAGTGGCAGGGGGAACCGCCCTTCCACGGAGGTGGGAGGGACGGTAGCCAACCCGGGAAGAACCAGCAGCAAACCCGGGAAGGGCCGAGCAGACAAAAGAACAGCGCAGGGTCCTGTGTCGTTCCTCCACGAAGACGGGGAGCGACACTTTCCCTTATAAACGACCTGGCTTTCAAGTATTCTATTGTAGCAACAGGACACAGCCTAAGGCACCCACACGATGAACATCCAGACGGAAGACCCTCCCCAGCTCCCAGACCACTCAACATTTTTACCTTTATATTTCATGCCCCACTCTTAAATGCCAAATATGACTAGAATTGAATTTTTTTTAAAGATTTCTTTATTTATTTGAAGGTCAGAGTTACAGAGAGGAGAAGCAGAGAGAGAGAGAGAGAGAGAGAGGTCGGCCGGCGCCGCAGCTCACTAGGCTAATCCTCCGCCTTGCGGCTCCGGCACACCGGGTTCTAGTCCCAGTCGGGGCGCCAGATTCTGTCCCGGTTGCCCCTCTTCCAGGCCAGCTCTCTGCTGTGGCCCCAGAGTGCAGTGGAGGATGGCCCAGGTGCTTGGGCCCTGCACCCCATGGGAAACCAGGAAAAGCACCTGGCTCCTGGCTCCTGCCATCGGATCAGCACGGTGCGCCGGCCGCAGCGCACCGGCCGCGGCGGCCATTGGAGGGTGAACCAATGGCAAAGGAAGACCTTTCTCTCTCTCTCTCTCACTGTCTAACTCTGCCTGTCAAAAAAATAAAAAAATAAAAAAAAAAAAAGAGAGAGAGGTCTTCCATCCGATGGTTCACTCCCCAGATGGACGGAACGTCCAGAGTTGTGCCAATCCGAAGCCAGGAGCTTCTTCCAGGTCTCCCACATGGGTGCAGGGGCCCAAGGACTTGGGCCACCTTCCACTGCTTTCCCAGGCCATAGCAGAGAGCTGGATTGGAAGTGGAGCAGCCCGGATCCAAACCGGCACCCATATGGGATGCCAGCCCTGCAGGCAGTGGCTTTACCTGCTATGCCACAGCGCCGGCCCCTGGAATTGAATTTTTACAGCAACAACTGCTTAAGCGCACCGTGCTGAGTACTTCCGCGACTTAACCCTGGGTCAGTATTTCTCCCTTTGTGGATGCGGATACTGAGGCACCTGCCCAAGGCCAGGACGCAAAACAGGAGCCGGAATAAGAACCCGGAGAGGTGGGCCCTACCCACCATGCTCTTAACCATTTCCCTCTGTTACCTAAAAAATGAAATACGGCAACCACTATTCTATCTCTTTCTCAGATCCAAGAGGTGCAAGTCTGGCAACTAATACAGGTTCTCCCAGGAGTCACTGCAGAAGGCCAGAGACCTGCCACCAGGGGGAAAGATCCACATTTTTAAAAAAGGATACAGACTTGGCCGGCGCCGCGGCTCACTAGGCTAATCCTCCGCCTTGTGGCGCCAGCACACCGGGTTCTAGTCCCGGTCGGGGCACCGGATTCTGTCCCGGTTGCCCCTCTTCCAGGCCAGCTCTCTGCTGTGGCCCGGGAGTGCAGTGGAGGATGGCCCAAGTACTTGGGCCCTGCACCCCATGGGAGACCAGGAGAAGCACCTGGCTCCTGCCTTCAGATCAGCGCGGTGCGCCGGCCATTGGAGGGTGAACCAACGGTAAAAGGAAGACCTTTCTCTCTCTCTCTCTCACTGTCCACTCTGCCTGTCAAAAAAAGAAAAAACAAAAACAAAAAAAGATACAGACTAAAAAAGCCACACTCGGCTAGCCTGGGATCCAGCTTCCGGATCCCCTACCTCCTGCAACCACGGCCCTTCCCTGACCCAAAAAAACACGTGGGCGAAAAGTCACAAACGACTCCTCATCCGGGGGCTTCAAAATTGATTCCCCACCCAAAAACAACCCTGAAAAATGCCCCCTCCTCCAGCCCACGTCTTTCCGGAGCAAGGGGTGCAGCAACCCTCCTTCTCTGCCCTTCCGACACCTGCCTCCTGCCAAGCATCTGGGCAAAGAGCTGATGACGTAGCGATCTTAGTGCAGAACGCTGCAGGCCGATGGACCGCTAGGAGCGGATGAGAGGCACGGCCTGCGGAGCTGGGGGCGGGGCGGGAGGAACGGTCGGAAAAACGGGCCTGCTCTCAGCAGGCGCAAGGAAATGATACCACTCGCTCCATTCCCAGTGATAATCAGGGATTATACATCCATTTGTTCAAATTACTGTGCCAGGAGCCGTGCCATACGGGGCTCCCATCTTGTAGGGGACCGTATACGGCCGTTCTGAAAGCTACATGAGATACCCCATTGTTAAGCGAGCTGTCCAGGGAACAGCCCTAGAAAGCACTCAACAAATGTCCATTATCAATATTATCGCGAATTCCGAGTCCCCTAAGTGGGATCAAAGAGCGCAGCCGCGTCTGGAAACACTGCGGGCTCCCCGTCCCAGCTCCGCTCGCTCCCTGCGGCCGTCTGCACTCCCGCCCTCCCAGACCCCCACGCGGCGCGCGCAGCTGACCTTCTCAACCTTCTTCGGCCCCTTCACTAGTTCATGCCTCTTGGGGATTGTTCCTCCGTCGCAACCCATGGCGAACCAGGAGTCACCGTCACCAGCAGAACCCCCAAAGCAGCCACTTCCGGAGTCTCTGGCGACAGCCGCAGCACTTCCGGCGCGCCCGGTGACGCGCGGCACGCCAGTCGCGACGCAGTGAGGCGGTGGGCGGGGCCGCCGCGAAGCCGCGGTTACTATGGCGAGCGTCGCCGGGAGCCGGGCGTGTCCCTGCGCGTGCGCTGTCGGGAGGCGGAGGCTGGGCAGGTGCCTCGCTTCCTCTTTGACGCGGGTCCCTCGCGTCTGACGCTGGGTGGGAGCTCTCGCCCGTGCTCCGGGTGGGGACGGCGCACGGGTCTCTACCCGCCCCAGCCTGCGTGGACGGAAAAGGAGCGGCCCTGTAGCTGCGAGGGGGATGCGGACGGGCGGAATCTCGTTTCCGTGAGCCCCTGTGACCCGAGCGCCCGGGGCGCCGCAGCGGCGGCCGGGGTCGTGGGCCCCCGCCTCACTGAGGCCTGCGGTGTGTGTTTGAGCCGTATACGAAACCCGACTCAGGCTTGCCCGGTGCCTGTGTGCACCTGAACACTGCACCAGAGTGAACTTGGCTTTCAGTTCTATTTGTTGTTCCAAGCGAGCGTTGCTGCGGTGCCCGGCTGTGTATTTCCTGAAGCTGGCGTTTAAAAAAACGTTAAGAAGCAGATACAGTTACAGATGGTAGCTTTTAAAATTACTTTTTATTTATTTTCATTTTATTTGAAAGGCAGCGCAACAGAGAGAGAGACTCTTTCATCCTCTGGTTCATTCCCCAAATGCCTGCAACAGCCAGGGCTGGGCCGGGCTGAAGCCAGAGCTGGAGCTGCATCTCGTCTCTCTTGTGGGCGTCAGGGACCCGGACCGTGAGCCGTCACCCGTTGCCTCCCAAGGCGGGCATTGGCAGGAAGCTGGGTGGGAAGCCGTAGGTGGGACTCAAGCCAGTCAGACTCCGAGGTGAGGTGCAGGCCTCCAGAGTGGCCACATAACCGCTGTGCCACACACGCCCCTTAGTTGTAGGGTTTTGTTTGTTTTTAAGATTTATTTACATATTTGGAAGGCAGAGTTACAGAGAGGGAGAGACAGACCTTTCATTGCTGAGTTGTTGCAAAAGTCAGGGCAGGGCCAGGCTGAAGCCAGGAGCCTGGGACTCCATCCAGGTCTCCCACCTGGAGGCCAGGACTCAAGCCCTCGGCCATCTCCCACGGCCGTCCCAGGTTCATGAGCTGAATTGGAAGTGCTGATATGGGAGGCTGGTGTCGCAGGCGGCAGCTTACCCAGCTGCGCCACCACTCCGGTCCCAGTTCTAAATGGTGCACTGCTCTGCACACCCTTCCCAAGGCTCAGGCCGCGTCACCCCGGGGCCACAGCACGAATGATTCCTTGCAAAACCTTTGGTTGCTGTTAAGCGCTCGCTCACCTCCATTGTTCCTCCAATCCTTGTAAGTATGGGGGACCCCTGCCTGCTGCCAGCAGAGTGTTCTGACTGGGTGTTGACCTAAGTGAACTATGTTGATTTAACTGAAACAGCCCTCTCTTTGGAACAGGTGCCCAGAAAATACCTGGATGTGAAGACTTCAGGGTCTGTAGCTCAGAGTGTCTGTTACTGTCGCCAGCAGGAGTTAAATATGGGAGTCAATAGCAACTAAAACAAAATAAACCCTTTAATCAGTTGTCTTCTCGCTGGTTTATTTTTTAAATGTTTATTTATTTATTTTCATCCACTTAAAAGACAGAGACAGAGATGGAGCTTCTTCCCAGTGGTTCACACTCCAGGTGCCCACAACAGCCAGGGCTGGGCAAGGCCAAAACCAGGAGCCAGGAGCTCCACTGGGTCTCCCACGCGGGTGCCAAGGGACCCAGGCACTTGAGCCGTCATCTGCTGCCTCCCAGGATGCATTGGCAGGCAATGAGAAGCAGAGGAGCCGAGCCAGGACTCCAGCCGGCGCTCCAGTGGGGGACGCAGGTGTTCCGAGTGGCAGCTTGACTGCTGCACCATGGCGCTGGCCCTTTAGGGAGATGTTCTAATGCCAGGCCCAAGAATTCTTATTTTCTTAAGGACAGGGACTTTGTATTTTCCCCTGTTGTGTCCTCAGTGCCTAGAAGAGTCTGGCATACTCAATGTAGATTTACTCAGCGAACCAACAGAAAGCATGAGACGCACTCAGAGACGGGTGACAAGCCCAGGTTTTGCCGCCCCTAAAACTGAGCCTGCATAGCTCTGGGAGGCTGGCCACTCCATCCAAACCCTTGCACCAGGGACTTGACCGAAACCTCGCGTGGCTCCCAGCAGCACAAGCCTGGGTCCCCAGGACGGCCGCAGACTCCCCGGGAGAGGCCTGCCAGGGTGCTCCGCGGTGAGGTGCCAGTTGTGCCCCAGTTACAGCTGGGACAGCTGGATTTCTCTCTTCCGCCTTGGTTTCCTCTTTGAGAAGTTTGGTTTCTAGGCTGTATTGTGCTTCTGACAGCTAGAACTTCCCTGTGGTTTTTCATCTTCACCAACAGCAACTGTGTGTGTTGAGAGCTGGCTGCCGGCCCTCCCTGACTCAGCCGCCCCGGGGAGCAGGTGTCATTATTGCCGGCTTCCAGGACCCTCACTGAAGGAAGCCATGGAGGACAGTCCCTTTCAGCGATCCCTGGGGACAACTTTATCCCCACTGAGCTGTGGGTTTGAGACAAAGGGGGAAAATGAAACTATGAAATAGGAAAACCATCATCCTCTAGGAAAACCGCTATTTCTTGGGGCCTGTGTAGGTCTGCAGCAAGTTAAGTCACCACCTGTGACAACAGCATCCAATATAAGTGCTGGTTCGAGTCTAGGCAGCTCCACTTCCGACCCAGCTCCCTAGTAATGCATTAGGGAAAGCAGTGGAAGATGGCCCAAGTCCTTGGGCCCCTGCCACCCACATGGGAGACCTGGACAGAGTTCCAGGTTCCTGGCTTCATGTTGGCCCAGCCCTGGCCATTTGGGGAGTGAACTCGTGAATGAAGGACCCCTCCCTCTTTCTGTAACTCTGCCTTTCAAGTAAATAAATAAATCTTTAAAAAAAAAAACCTCTGGTATTTCTTAACCTTTCTGGAGTCGCTGGATCTAAGAATTCAATGCAAACTTTAGACAGATGCCCTAGAAAAATATCTTTCAGCACGTAGGGAATGTTGCATAAGTAATACGTGTTTGTATTCCATCACAGCCCCGAGGCCCAGATGAAGAATCAGTCCTTTAAACGCTATTACCATAGTTCCCAGGTAACTTTTCTATTGTCCAGGGCTTGATTTCCTGATAGTTCTGTGCAAACATCCTTAGGATTCTGTCTGGAAAAAGCCAACAAACTGAAAATTCATCTGAAGAGGTGGCATAATTAGAGAATTTTAAAAATTATTTTAAAGATTTATTTTATTTATTTGAAAGACAGAGTTACAGAGAGAGGTAGAGACAGAGAGAGAGGTCTTCCAGCCACTGGTTCACTCCCCAATTGGCCGCAATGGCTGGAGCTATGCTGATCCGAAGCCAGGAGCCAGAAGCTTCTTCCAGGTCTCCCATGCGGGTGCGGAGCCCAAGGACTTGGGCCATCTTCCACTGCTTTCCCAGGTCATAGCAGAGAGCTGGATCAGAAGAGGAGCAGCCAGGACTAGAACTGGTGCCCATATGGGATGCCGGTGCTTCAGGCCAGGGCGTTAACCCGCCTAGCCACAGCGCCAGTCCCTAGAGAATCTTATAAGCATCATTTAAGATCTATTTGGGAGAGAGTTAAAAAAAAAAAGTCTAAAATTGGAAAATGGAGGTGACAACAGAGACAATGCAAGACAAAAAATTACTTTCAACTTGCAGTGTTAGGGAAATATTCAAAACGTCCTAGAAATGCATGCCGCCTTACATGAATTGGCCCTCGTCACCCCACGCAGCTCACGTGGGCTCCTTCTCTTGCCTGTGGCAGGCTCCAGCCCCCTCCTCTCCCACCAGTGCCCAGCCCCTCATCCAGGCAGTCATCACTCTGCTGCGGGGCCCCTGCTGTGAACGGTCTCCCCTCAGCTCTCCATCGAAGAGGGCACCCCTCCATCACACTACCCCGTCCCGACCTTCCTGCATTGCACTTGCTACCCTGATACCTGTTATACGTTTAACTTTTGATAGTTTGTTCCTTTTGATAGTTTGTTCCCTGTGGAGTTTTGTATCAACTTTTACTTCTGAAGAAGTACCACATGGGGTGGGCATGGTGAGACAGCAGGTTAAACTGCCACGTGGGATGCCTGGGCTGCGGATCGGAGTGCCTGGGCATGCGTGCCGCTTCTGCCTCTGTTCCTGATCCAGCTCCCTGCACACTCACCTGGGAGGTAGCTGGTGATGGCTCCAGCACTGAGTGCTGTTACCCACTTGGGAGAGGCTCAGATGGAGTTCAGGGCTCTTGGCTTCAACCTACCCAGCCCTGGGTCATTTGGGGAATGAACCAGTGGATAAGATCTCTCTCTATCTTTCAAATAAATACAGTCAAGAATTATTGCATCAGAATGTTGTTCGTCCTGATTACTAAGGGTGCGGAGTCCCTTACATTTTGGATCCAGGAGATAGAGCTCTGCCCTCGCTGGCCCTGGTGCCCATCCCGCGCCGCGATGACAGCGCCCAGCTGCAGTGCCTCTGTTTGGGTCCCGGCAGCAGTGTCTCTAGTGGCCAGCAGAGACCGGGCCGGGGGAGAGGAGGTGCCCCGTAAACACCTGTGCACTGAGGCGTGAGGGAACAGCTTCCACGCACCTCAGCGTGCGACACACACACAGGCAACGTTAGGGGACCTGGAGTGCACACGTGGCAAAGATGGAATTTTCAGAAAGGTGCTTTGTAAGAGAAATGTTGACAGCAAACCAGCCAAAGCAGAGGCATGGCCCCTGGCACTCGTCACACTGGGAGATCTCCGAAGTGAGTCCTCACCCCTTCCATCCTCTTCATGAAGTTTAACTTAATTGAGGTCAAACTGTTACCACCACCCTCATCACCACAACACCCACCATTTCCCCTTCCTTCCTTGGGAGGAAACGGTACAGGATTCTGGGCATTCAACAAAAATACTTAGAAAAAAAAATTTGACAAAAAAAAAAAAAACATTTTAAAAGTGTTTAATTATATTAAATTTTTAAAAATTAAATTCTATTAATTTTTCAGAAGTTCTCCTCCTATTAAATTAATCAGTGGAAAGTCACTCACAGAACCCCTCTTTTTCAAAAAAAAAAAAAAGGAAGGAAACACATTTAGCTAAGAGCAGCATTTTTCTTTCTTTTGTACCCACTAATTTTGTACATTGTTGACAAAGATCCTTTGAGCTATTTTCGGAATAAAAAAAGGAAAAGGATTTGTGTCTGCTACCTCCTAGAGAGGTCACTTAGGAGGGGATGGTTGTGTGGACTGAGTGGGCTCCAGTCGTCAGGCAGCAATCACTCAGCAGACGCAGACCACCACCACTGCTGCCACGGCACAGCAGAAGTGTGGCCATCCTTTAACAAATGCTGCTTTTCTGCTGGTGGAAAGATAAGTTGCAATAGGCTTTTTTTTTTTTTTTTTTTTTTGACAGGCAGAGTGGACAGTGAGAGAGAGACAGAGAGAAAGGTCTTCCTTTGCCGTTGGTTCACCCTCCAATGGCTGCCGCGGCCGGCGCGCTGCGCTGATCCGATGGCAGGAGCCAGGTGCTTCTCCTGGTCTCCCATGGGGTGCAGGGCCCAAGCACCTGGGCCATCCTCCACTGCACTCCCGGGCCACAGCAGAGAGCTGGCCTGGAAGAGGGGCAACCGGGACAGAATCCAGCGCCCCGACCGGGACTAGAACCCGGTGTGCCGGCGCCGCAAGGCGGAGGATTACCCTGGTGAGCCACGGCACTGGCCAGCAATAGGCTTTTATTGGATGCTTCCTAGCGATAATCCCTCCTTCTTCCAGCAGCATTGCTGGCTTTTCCAGGGGGACCCTGTTGGAGACAGTTCTCCATGGGGGTCTTGCATCCCCACACACACGGGAGCAGAACACCAACGACATTTCACTCTGGTCCGTCTTTTCAAGGGTGTGTGTAGCCAGCAGCCTTGAAGATGGAGACAATGCCTCCCCCAGGCAGATAGATCAGTGTGTGTGTGTGTGTGTGTGTGTGTGTGTGTGTGTGTGTGTGAGAGAGAGAGAGAGAGAGAGAGAGAGAGAGAGAGAGAGAGAGACTCTGTCGTTCTTTCAAATAAATCTTAAGGGGGTGGGGAAAAAGCCCTGCTCGGCAAGGCTGGCGTTGGCGTGCAGGAACTTGGACTTGGGGAGGGTTCCCGCCACCCCCAGAACTGCTAAGAAGGGTTCATTGTGTGGAAACTGGATGAGCAGTGTGGTTCATGCTGACACCCACGTTCCTCCTGGGACTTGGGGTATCGGGCATGTGCCCTGCAGAGGCAGAGTGGACGGGAGCTGCACTCGGGCCACTGCAGATGACTTAGAGCCTGGAGACACTGTCTGCAGGCTGCAACGGAGGTTATCAGATGAGCTCTGAGACCTGGACCGTGATGATGTAACCATAGCAACACGAGCCAAACATGCCACTGCAGCGAGAGGAAGAGGAGGTGCTGACTTGAGAGGAGCTTTGTGCCACTTCCATATCTGTGCCTGGCCGTGGGCATCCTGTCCACACCGCACCTTCCTGTTTGCACCACCATAGGTGATGGGCTTGGTTTTCAGCACTGATCTGCTGCACCTTCCCGTAGGCTTCAGGGTTAGGGTTAGCATTTGAATCATGAAAGTTGACCCCGGAAGCTTGACTTTGGTACCAGAACTCCAGCAACATGAACCAAAGTCCCTTCCAATGAGGTTCAACTTCACGGGTTTATTTAAATAATATTATAAAGTGGTGACAGATTTGGGGCTGTTGAAATATAAATTTTTTTCTAATTGAGCAGTAGAATTTATCAACACAGATCTGTAATGGACAAAATAGCAGGGAACCCAACAGAACATATTATGTTACAAATGTGATCTGTATCTTTTTTTTTTTTTAAAGATTTATATATTTATTTGAAAGAGTTACAAACACACACACAGAGAGAAAGTCTTCCATCTGCTGGTTCACTCCCCAAATGGCTGCAATGGCCAGGAGCTAGGAGCTTCTTTCCGCTCTCCCATGCAGGTGCAGGGGCCCAAGCACGTGGGCCATCCTCCACTACTTTCCCAGGCCATAGCAGGGAGCTGGATCGGAAGTGGAGCAGCCGGGACTCGAATTGGCACCCATATGGGATGCCAGCACTGCAGGCGGTGGTTTTACCTGCTACGTCACAGCACTAGCCCCAATCCATATCTTTAACTAGGTTAAAAACTTATGGCCAAAATAATTATTTTTTAATGCAAGACATAGATACATAATTTGTACCAATTTCACATAATTCAGTGTACAATGAAAAACTTATTACAATTTTTAAAAGACTTACTTATTGATCTGAAAGGCGGAGTTACAGAGACAGAGAGATCTTACATCTGCTGTTCCACTCCCTAGGTGGCTGCAACGGCCGGGGCTGGGCCAGGCCGAAGCCAGGAGCCTTATCAGGGTCTCCCACATGAGTGCAGGGGCCCAAGCACTTGGGCCATCCTCTGCTGCTTTCCCAGGTGCATTAGCAGAGAGCTGGGTCAGAAGTGGGGCAGCCGGGATAAAAATCAGAGCCCACAGGGAATGCCAGCACCACAGACAAGAGGCTGTACCATTTTGTTAATGGATGCAGCATGAATTGAGAACAAACTCCCTTACTCACCTCCTACTTTTTCTCCCTTGCACACAATGCTTTACGTTTGTGTTTCTCCCTCATTTTGTCTCCCTCATGAGATTGTAAGTCCCATGAGGGCAGGGCCTCTGGTTCACAGCTGTGTCTCCAGTGCCTAGAACTTGGTGTATTGTAGGTGCTCAATAAATACATGTTGAAGGAATGAATTTAAAATGCACACACACACATGCACACACGTGCACACACATGCACTTAACCAGTATACGAAACAATTTCCATGGCCTCACTTGGAACATTGACCCCGTGTACCCAACGCGATACAGCCGGTTCACAAGGTCCTTACTTAAACCTGACTCTTTCCTGATCCGCCGCGGGGTGAGTCAGTGTCCCGGGGTTGCTCAGCCTCTCGGTAACGCTGGCGCTCAGCGCGTCTCTGTGCCCTGGCTGGACGGTCCACAGGACGGGGTGGCCCAGAGTGGGTGTGCGGCTGGAGCCGAGGCTCCGAGGAAGCAGGCGGCGGGGAGGTCTCACTCCAGCGTCCCTCTGAACTGCCGCGTGTGCTGCTCCAGCCTCTCGGCCTCGGCCCGCAGGCGGCCCAGGGCTGCGGGGCTCGGGTACTGGAGCACGGCGTCCTTGGTGGCCAGGGCCAGGGCCTTGAGCAGCCCGCAGAGGCGGCAGCTGCTGCGCAGCACCCGGTCGCGCAGGTCCTTCTCCTGGGTCTCCCTGCACAGCGCGTCCACCAGCTTCTGCCCCGCCATGACGATGAGCTTGCTCTGCGTGATGAAGGTCTCGGGCGGGGGGCTGTGGCGGAGGCTACTGTGAAACACACCCAGGGCCTTGAAGAGCGCCCCGAAATACAGCCGGCAGTGTTCAGAGAGGTGGAGCTTCTTGCTGGGGTCCCGCTCGCTCGGAGGCTGGGGAGAAAGAGAGCCAGGACCCTAGAGAGGTGGGAAGAGAGAAGACAGAGACCGGTCAGCCGGCTGCGCTGTGTGGTTAGGGGAGCCTCAGGCTAAGACGTTTCTCTCACAGGTGAATGGTTGCTTCCAAAGCCCGTTATACACGCCACAGAACCCACAGAACCCACAGAACCCACAGAACCCACAGAACCGCGGGTTACGATATGCACATGGAAGACCGGGCTTCCAAAAGCTTGTGGAACAATGGGATGAAAAGATCTGTTTGTCTTGTTGCGACAAATTCTGAAACCCACGTAGTTTTTTCATAATACATGTTTCCCATGAATTGAAAATCTGTTATTATATTATTCAAAAGGCAGAGGGAGACGGGGTGGGGGAGAGTCTTCCATCTGCTGATTCACCCCCCAAATGCCTGCAGCAGCAGGGGCTGGGCTGGGCCCAAGACTGGGAACTGGTTAGAGGTGCACATCCCCAGGGGTGTGCCGTGGCTCACTGGGTTAATCCTCCGCCTGCGGTGACGGTATTTCATACAGGCGCCGGTTCTAGTCCTGGCTGCTTCTCTTCCAGTCCAGCCCGATCCAGCTCTCTGCTGCGGCCTGGGACAGCAGTAGAGGATGGCCCAGGTCCTTGGGCCCCTGCACCCGTGTGGGAGACCAGGAAGAAGCTCCTGGCTCCTGGCTTCAGAATGGCACAGCTACGGCCGTTGCGGCCATTGGGGAGTGAACCAGTGAACCAACAAACTCCCTCTCACTGTCTGTAACTCTACCTCTCAAATAAATAAATAAAAGCTTGTAAAAAAAAAAAAAAAAGAAGAAGAAGAAGAAGAGAAAAGAAAGCAGATGTACACCCCTGCACTCTGCCCCAGACCTAGGAACTCGGAGACGCTGGGGCGGGGCCTAGCACCTGAGCTCCAGGGTGATGGTGCTGCCGGCTCTAGTTTGAGAACCCCTGCTTCATCCAGGACAAACAGCGCGCTCTTCAGCAACATGGCAGACCCAGCGTTTAGTGGGGGTTTGTGGAACTTGTGGATCAAGAGGCCCGGGCTTGGTCCTCATCTGCCTCTAGGAAGGCCCACCACCCACGGGGCCTGGGACATCTCTGGTCCCCCCCCTCCATGTGGCCCTCGGCTTCCAGGCTTCAGTTATTTGCACACAGTCTTCCCAGCTTTCCCAGGCTACACCCTGAACGTCAACAGGCTTCACTCTTTGTCTTTAAATGGATCCATTTTTTGAAACTTGAAACAATTAAAACTGGTAGTGGGCCGGCACCGTGGTTCACTAGGCTAATCCTCCACCTTGCAGCGCCGGCACACCGGGTTCTAGTCCCGGTCGGGGCGCCGGATTCTGTCCTGGTTGCCCCTCTTCCAGGCCAGCTCTCTGCTGTGGCCCGGGAAGGCAGTGGAGGATGGCCCAAGTGCTTGGGCCCTGCACCCGCATGGGAGACCAGGAGAAGCACCTGGCTCCTGCCTTCGGATCAGCGCGATGCGCCGGCTGCAGCGCGCCAGCCGCGGCGGCCATTGGAGGGTGAACCAACAGCAAAGGAAGACCTTTCTCTCTGTCTCTCTCTCTCACTGTCCACTCTGCCTGTCAAAAATAAAAAATAGTAATAAAAAAAAAAAAAAACTGGTAGTGGAAAACCACTGTTGTTTGCCACAGAAGATAACCAGTAAAACACAATGATAATATCTTTGATTTTTTTTTTTTGAAAAGGAAGAACACCAAGTACCAAAGAGGTGCTGAAGACACACAAGACCCAAACCAAAATGCTTTTTGACTGCAATCAGAAATATTAAGAGAATATCACAGGGAGTGAGTCATTGGCGTGTAATGCCACGTTGACACCACCCACGGTGAACTTGCACCCTGAATCATTTCACTGACCACGAGGGGTTCACGACCCGGACCCTGCAGCTTGCCTGACCAGCTGCTCTCTGAGGTTTCTCCTATAATGAAAAAAGGGGAAACTGTCACAAAAACCGAGTGCCCCCCCACAGCGTGGGTCATGGCGACAACGCTGCGCCACACGGGGCGTGCTGCCCGCCTGCAGGGGTGAAGAACACTGGTCAAGGATTGGCGCGTGAGCTCCAGGGCTTACCGGTCCTCCCGAGTCTTTGTTTTCATTTAACCTTTGTTCTGAGGTGGGCTTTTCTTTCTCTTCTAGGTTAGACAACTTCTGAAAAATAAAATCCCTTCACATGACAAACTTGAATGATCTTACACTACTGTTTAAAACTTTAAGACCCGTGCACTCTTCTTTACGTATTTTGTTCACAGCTCTGTTTACTGATACCACGTTCTAACCAAAGGAGATTTTTGGTAGGCCAAGGGCTGAATTTTGCAGACTAACAGGCCCTAATGGAATGATTCATACATTTTTTTCTATTTTTCTTTATTTTTTTATTTTTTTTCTTTCTTCTTTTTTTCTTTTTTCTTTCTTTTTTTGTTTCATACATTTTTTTTAAACAAGCTACATGCAAAGGAGCTTCAAAAATGTCCTGGAAATTAAATTAAAGTGTTTATTTTGGTGCAAAAAATTTTTGAATCCCGGAGTAGGCTCTGTGGTTGAGCCTGCTGCCTCCCACGGCAGAGTCCACTTCCCTCCCGACTCCTCCACTTCTGACCCAGCTTCCTGCTGATGCATCCCGGAAGGCAGCAGGTGATGACTCAAATGCTTTGGCCCCTGACCCGTGGGAGACCCGGATGGACTTCCTGGCTCCTGGTTTCAACCTGGACCTGCCCTGGCTATTGTGAGCATTTTTTTGGAGTGAATCAGCAGATGGAAGATCTCTCTCTCTACCTTTCAAGAGATGAAACATAATAGAACATACTTTTTTTATTTTAGGCATAATTTTTCCTAATAGGCATTTTCTATGAATCGTTGATGATTCCTTATATATGCAAATTAAGAACATCTGAACTTCTAGAATAAGTGAACACCCCACACCACCCAGCACTTCAGCAGAGCATCCGAATGACCTTGACAACACCCCAGGGACCTGCCGGGACAGCTGAGGCTGCGAACTGCAGCTTCTCTTGCTACAGCATCTGCAGGCAGCCAGCAAAGAACTACGACATCTCCATCCCCCGAGGGCCAAACCCACCACAGCGGTCACACCCGATCACAGTGGAGCTGGACACTTCCCGTGGCCTCTGACCTTGTGGCTGTCACACTGTCCTCGTGCAATGCATTCCTCCTGTGTTTGGGGTGAGGCCGGTGCAAGCGAACCTGCTGCACCGCTCGCTGTGTCAAAGTACAGCGCACGCACAGCGCACAGTGCCTGACGCTTGGCAGGGACATAAACAACTGCGTCACCGGTTCGCGTGTCTACCGTGCGACACCTTTCCATCTTTACTTTAGTGTACTCCTTGTTTGAAAATCACTCTGCTATGACACGGTGTCTGTGCTATGCCGGGGCAGTACAGCACGTCTCGTGTGTGCTGTGTCGCCTGATTGTGCCGAGCGGCCACAGACTTGTGGACTGACCCACACTGTGTGGGTTTGTTTCAGTGGGCCCTGAAAGTCTGCCCACCAGTGAAATCACCTACTGGTGCATTTCTCAGAAGCATCCCCCATCACATGACACACGCCTGTGCCTCTCAGGGTGACAGTCTGGAGGCCGATCGGACCATGATTAATTTGGAAGCAGATTTATACTTCCTCTTCTGTTTCTAAGAGACAAAACACTGACAGTGACTGAATTCACAATTTTTTTTTTTTTTTTGACAGGCAGAGTTAGACAGTGAGAGAGAGACAGAGAGAAAGGTCTTCCTTTGCCATTGGTTCACCCTCCAATGGCCGCCGCGGCCGGCATGCTGCAGCCGGCGCACCGCGCTGATCCGATGGCAGGAGCCAGGTGCTTCTCCTGGTCTCCCATGGGGTGCAGGGCCCAAGCACCTGGGCCATCCTCCACTGCACTCCCTGGCCACAGCAGAGAGCTGGCCTGGAAGAGGGGCAACCGGGACAGAATCCGGCGCCCCGACCGGGACCAGAACCCGGTGTGCCGGCGCTGCAAGGCGGAGGATTAGCCTAGTGAGCCGCGGCGACGGCCCCGCAATTTTCAAAAATACAAGGAAACTTGGTAGTGAGATTAAAAACTGCAAAACCAACAGATGTTTACAACTGTTTCCCAATTCTAGTATCAGAAGTTAACTTAAATCCCCCAAAATTCCCATTAGAAAATCTAACAAGCTGACCCATCTGCCTTAATATTAAGCTAGTTATCTTACTAATAGTATTTCATCTAGATGCTTACTTTTATGAATTTTTAAAAATTATTTATCTATTTGAGAGGCAGAATTACAGAGAGAGAGGTCTTCCATCCACTGGTTCACTCCCCAAATGACTGCAATGGTCAGAGCTGGGCCCATCCAAAGCCGGGAGCCAGGAGCTTCTTCTGGGTCTTCCATTGGGTATAGGGGCCCAAGAACTTGGGCCATCTTCCACTGCTTTCCCAGGCCACAGCAGAGAGCTGGATTGGAAGAGGAATAGCCGGGACATGAACTGGCGCCCATATGGGATGCCAGGGCTGCAGGTGGAGGCTTAAGCTACTGCGCCACAATGCTGGCCCTCTTTTGTGTATTTTATTTTCTGGAACACAGACCAATGTCTCCCCAGAGCCCATGCACTACTGAAAGACCCCCCATGTGTCACTGAGTGACGACCACTCCAGGTAACAGCTGAAGCCCCTGGTTGTACGACTTGGAACTGGGAACTCACCTGCCCACAGTCCTGTCTCCCGTCCTTTTCCAATAGGTCAGGGCAGTGTTCATTTTCCCTTGGCTCATTAAAAGGAAGGCTCCTCTGGTATGAGTCAGTTTCTCTCTGGGGAAGCTGGATGCATTGTTCACACTTACATTCTGCATTTGTGGTCAGTTGCGTGGTCTCCACCTTTTTACAGTTCTGCTTAAAAAGGAGCCTCCCGTTGGCGATGACCATGGAGGCAAACCTCTTGATGTCTTCCGGAACCATCCGCGCCACCATGACAAATCTCTCCAAGTCATCCAGGCTGTTCTGGACTTTGTCTGTTACAAGAACGTCCAGGGACCAATCGCAGCTGTCCAGGCTTCCCTTGGCTTCTAGCAGGATCTCATAGGAGCTGGAGATCGTCTGCAGCTGCTCCCGAATTCTGGCATGAAGGTTACTGTCCGTGAGGTTGCAGGCCATCCCACAGACTTCTCGGGCAAACTCGAGAAATTCTCTCAAAGACACTTCTGTGTGCTCGGCGGCCCTGCGGATGGCCCCGATGTTGGCCTCCAGGTAGTCCCTGAACCTCCACTTCCTGCTCACAAAGAGCATCAGGCCGGCCGTGGAGCTGACCACCTTGTGCTGCAGCGCCATGATGGTCTCTCTGGCCAAGTCCAGGTCCAAGGGCAGCTCCCTCGCTGGCTCTTCCGAGGAAGAGCCGGCGGACTCGTCCGTGGACATGGAGGAGCAGGAGGAGACGACGCTAGCTCTGCTGTCGGCGCTGGCGATGGAGCGCCTGTCGGCCTCAGGAGGGGGGCTCGCGGCCCACCTGGAGATCCACGCGGCCTTCTGGCCCAGGGGGGCCTCCGGAGCCTCTTTGGCTCCCCCCAGCTCTTTCTCGGCCTGCTGTGCACCCGGCATCGCTTTGGGGATGTCGTAAATGTTGGGCTTGGTGCTCTGCTGCTCCACTCGCGGGCTCAGGAAGCTGGGAGGCACCTGGTAGCCAGCACCTTTCCCAGAGGGGCTCGAGTCGGGAGGAGGAACTTCGGGGAGACTGAGCTTTCTCTCCATGCCGTACGGCTGCGGAGGGAGGGACCTGGCTCTGCAGCCTGCAGGCCCGGGGGCCACACGAGGGCCTGGCTCTTCCACCAGGCTCCTTAGTGGTGGGTTTCTGCCGCCGGCCTTTCCTGGGGATGCCACGTTGTCGTAAACCCATTCCGACTTCCGAGGGCTTGGTAACGAGTGGGAGCCACCGCTTTTTAAGGCAATCGTTGGTGTCAGGGCAGTGCTCGGCTCCTGTGGAAGAACCACACAAAACCACCTGGTCAGTAGCAAGAGAAGGAGGGTTTGAGGGACTCCCGAGTTCTCTGGGTGGCTCCCCGCTGCTGCCGTCATTCAAGGCCCTCCACAACCTGGCTCCAGCTCCTCTGAGCCTGTCTGCTCTCTACTTGAACCACACCGTCCCTGTTGGTCCAGCCCCTCCCCCTGAGTTCAAAGTGCAAGGGGAGGGGGAGTCTCGCTCCCACTGCTCCGATGCCCTTTCCGTCTAACAAACTTGGGGTCCCTTGGGGTCCTGTGGAAATGCCACCTCCTTTGTAGCAGTCCCCTGATGATCTTGGGCACCGTGCATCTATGGGGCACATGCATTGGAATCCAATGATAAGCACAATTTCACAGACTGCAAATGGATTCATTCTCCCATATACAAATAAAAGCGCGCTTTGTCACAGTCAGGCATAGCAGGAGACAGTTACCCAAGCCTTGCTGCACAGTCGCTCTGTGCGAGGTCCTGGCAGGGGTTATCTCCGGTAATACTCCCCACAAATCTGCAGTAAGACACCAAGGCTCAGAGGAGCAAATGATGCCAAAGACAACAGCTAGTGTGGCCACAGAACACCCATGCAGTGAGGGAGGGGTTTGGGCTGAGATGCACTTGCGTTAGCGTTTGTGACCAGGGGTTTTCAGGTTTTCAAAGCACGGCACGGCAGCTCCCTTTTCCTACTCACGTGGGCTTGGCTGGCCGGGTGACACCACCCTGCCTTTTGGGGGCTGGGCAGGATGTCATATAACTGCTGCTTCTCCGGTTCCTGGGGAAAGACCACAAAGGACAACGTGGGTTTCTCCTTCCAGTGGCTGCACGCCATGAACGCTCCCCTTCTCAGTGTCTTTTCCAAAGGACGACACAAATCCTGGGAGCCTCGGGCTCTCCCGGAGGATGTCCACGTGCTGCAGTGGGCGTCCCCTCCGCTACAGACTTCACATGTTATCATACTTTAAAGGTGCCTTCTCCGGGAGCGTGCTCGGCTAGTAGTTAAGATGCTTGTGTCCCATCCTGCACTGCTTGGGCTCAATATCCAGCCCCTGCTCTGGATCCCAGCTCTCTGCTAAGACAAACACAGAAGGCAGCAGGGACGGCTCAAATAGCTGGGTCCCTGCCGCCCATGTAGGAGACCTAGACTGAGTTCCTGGCTCCTGCCTCCAGGCCCAGCCCTGATCATGGTGGGCATTTCAGGGAGTGAACCCATGGATGGGTGCTCTCTGTCTGTCTCTCTGCCTCTCAAATGGGACAGAGTAACATAAAACATTAAACGTGCCATCTCCACGGAGCCATGTGGAGAGTTGACCATGGTTACCTGAGTTACACTAATCATTCATCTCCCTCAGGTAGCTGTAAGATTGCATTAAGGGAGCTGGCGCTGTGGTATAGCGGTAAAGCTGCCACCTGCAGTCCCGGCATCCCATATGGATGTCCGTTCAGGTCCTGGCTGCTCCACTTCTAATCCAGCTCTCTACTGTGGCCTGAGAAAGTAGTGGAAGATGGCCTAAGTTCTTGGGCCCCTGCACTCGCTTGGGAGTCCTGGAAGAAGCTCCTGGCTCCTGGCTTCGGATCAGCACAGCTCAGGCCGTTGCGCCCATCTGGAGTGAACCAGTGAATGGAAGACCTCTCTCTCTCTTTCTCTCTCTCTCTCTCACTCTGCCTCTGCCTCTGCCTCTCTGTAGCTCTGCCTTTCAAATAAATAAATAAATCTTTTTAAAAAAGATTGCATTAAGTCAGAAAACAAAATGGGAGTGGGATCTAGTGCGTCTTCTTCATTTCTTGTTTTTCCCAGTAGAAATTTCTCCGTGTTTATCACTCAAGCGTTCATTCTGCAAATGTTTATCGTGCGCCTACTAACAGCAGGTCTCTAAGCCAAGTGACACTTGTATGCGCTGGTGAGGGCACTAAGGAAACTGCCATGCTGAGGACCTACTCAGTGCCAGGCACGGTGCTCCTTAAAAATTGAATTCCAGGGCCGGCGCTGTGGCGTAGTGGGTTAAGCCACACACAGGCGCTGGTTTGAGTTCCAGCTGTTCCACTTCCGATCCAGCTCCCTGCTGTGGCCTGGGAAAGCAGTGGAAGATGGCCCAAGTGCTTGGGCTCCTGCCCCCATGTGGGAGGCCCAGGGGAAGCTCCTGGCTCCTGGCTTCGGTCTGGCCCAGTACTGGCCCTTGGGGCCATTGGGGACCGAACCAGCAGATGGAAGCTCGCTCTCTCTCTCTCTCTGTAACTCTGCATTTCAAGTAAAATAAATAAATCTAATAAATAAATAAATAAATAAAGGTTGCCTGGTCTTGGATGATTTTTAAAAAATTGAATCATCCCTGCCTTGCTCAGCTCTTCAGTGACCCCAGGTATAAGTGAGTGTACTTCAAAAACTCTGTGGAAAATGGAATTAAAAGATACACTTATTTTGGTGTAAAACTGTTCTGAAATCTATGCGTAGTGTTTGCAATGGCTAGGGCTGGGCCGGGTGGAAGCCAGGAGCTAAGACCTCAATCTGGGTTTTCCACGTGGGTGGCAGGGACCCAGCCTCTTGGAGCATCACCTGGTGTCTCCCAGGGTGAGCATCAGAGGAAGCTGGAACTTGGGGCGGAGCCAGAACTCCAACCCAGGGTCTCTCTAAGGGATGTGAGCGTCCCAAGCAGTATCTTAGCTGCTACACCAATGCCTGCCCCTTACTGAAGATGTGTGTGCCTGCGTACTCGTGGAACCTCTGTGGCAAGTGAAAAGTAAAGCCTTTTGAAAACCCAGCATTCAAACAGCCCTTGAACTTTTAGAAGCCCCTGTGTCTTCCGTAGTGGAGCCCCTCAAAGACCCCCTTGTTGGGACTGGCGCTGTGGGGTAGCGGATAAAGCCGCTGCCTGCAGTGCTGGCATCCCATACGGACGCTGACGCCGTTTGAGTCCCGGCTGCTCCACTTCCCATCCAGCTCTCTGCTATGGCCTGGGAAAGCAGTAGAGGATGGCCCAGGTCCTTGGGTCCCTGCACCCATATGGGAGACCCAGAGGAAGCTCCAGGTTCCTGGCTTCTGATCGGTGCAGCTCTGGCCTGCCAGTGGATGCAAGACCTCTCTCTCTCTCTCTCTCTCTCTCTCTCTCTCTCTCTCTTCTCTCTGCCTCTGCCTCTCTGTAACTCTGCCTTTCAAATAAATAAATAAATATTAAAAAAAAAAAAAAGCTCCCTTATGAGGCTGAAGGCAGTGCCCTGTGGCACTGAGGCCCCCGCCTGGGGGCAGAGGTCCCAGTGGAGCGGCCGCTGAAGGAGGCTCACCTTCTGGGCGGGGAAGACGCGGCTCTGGGCAGGCACGTCATACACCTGGGATGGCAGCACTGGCAGCGAGGCCCACGCCGGTCTGGGAAGCGTGAAGAGGGCCTTGGGGAGGCGAGGGAGAGAACAGAGGGTCAGGGATGTCTCGCTGATTCTCACCGCTGCCCACGCGGTTTCCCTCACACAGCAGACACAGCTCATCAGAGGACACGGGCGAGCCACCCCTCACTCGGCTGACACTCTGGGACTAGCCAGATGCTGGAGGAGGGCCCACCGTGGAGGCCCGGCCTCGGCTGCCTGTGTCACCTGCACCTGGATGCGACTTAGAATGCAGGTTCTCAGGCCCTGCGTGCGTTGGGCTGAATCTGAGCGCTGACCTGCAGCGTCTACACAGCTTGCCTGGCGGCTGCGAGGCTCTCCCGGGGCCAGGAGGCTGTGCCTCCAAGAGTCATGAGGGACACGGACAGAGGGGCTTTCAGAGAGCAAGGAGGAAGGACTAGCAAGGTCTGGGGGACACCAAGGCCGTGCGGCGGGGGGCAGGAGGTGAGCAGAGGAACCCTGGATGGCAGCTGTTGCAGGCACGGGTGGATGTCAGAAGAGACCTTGATGGAGGGGCCTGAACAAGGGGAGGTGGGGGAGGTGGGGCCGGGGGGGTCAGCACAGAGCTGGGGTTCATCCCACAAAGGGCAGGAGGTACAGACAGGCTTACAGATGATTGGATGTGCTCGGTCAGCTACTAGTTCTGTCTTGCCGTGGAGTCCATGCCCATGTATGGAAACTCTGAGTTCCAGCACCCTCTCTGGCCTGCTGCTGTCCAGCCCGCACTGGGCACCACGTGTGCACTTCCCCCTGAGCAGGGACTTTCTGCACTGGAACTTGCGGGTGGATAGGACTGAAATGTGTGGAGATGAGGGAGGCAATTCAGCTGTGGGGGTGGGGGGAACGGGACAAGGACCAGGCCAGGCCTCTCTGTCCATCACAGTGTCCCCAGGACTGGCGTGTGGTGCGTGCTGGCATTTATCTGCTGATGTTGGCGGATGCACGTTACAGATTGGGACGGCAAAGAATGATCTCTTCCTGAGGCTGGCATCACAGGTGCAGACGACACAGCTGCCGAGGGGGACGACATTTCTCCCAAGGACGCGCCGCAGCTGTCAGCTGTCAGCTCCCCTTCTCTGAGCGACAGCTGCTTTCTTGTCACAGAGGAGCACACCTCTCTAAACGCCAGGGCTCTCAGAAGCTCTGCGGTGTGGTGCACTTTCAGGAAGAGCACGGGGACCTCCTGATTTTGTCTGGAGGGTCTGAGTCACGACGCAAGGAAGCAGAGCTCCCACTCCGGCCCCCACACTCCACGTGCGTGTCCACTCTGCACTCTGCAGCGTGGGTCCACACTGACCCCTCGCCCGAGGCCCTCTTTTGCACAGAGCCTATCAGGATCAGCTTGGATTGCACTCCCCTAATGCCTACCTTTCCCCGTATCTCGTAATTACACTTCCTTCCCTCTGTTGGGGGGTGACCCTTGGTTCTGCCGCTCTTCCATCTTGCTCACTACAGGACTTTGTCTATGGTGATCTTAGACCAATTCAGGACAAACCCAATGATGGTTCCCCATTGCAGTTGGAACTAAACCCAAGCTCCTTGCCAGGGCTAACAGGCCACGCCCTGTCCAAGCCCAGGGACCACTCAGGAGAGTCCTTGGCCATCAGCCTCACCTGCGCATCCGCTCCCTGCCTCCTCCACTTAGCTGAACGCACCAGCTCGCTCCCTCTCTCATAGGCCTTCCTGCTCCCCAGCCGTTCCTTCCCTAGGCCCATCTTACATGTGGGGACTTTGTGGGCCACACATCCTGTCAGAGCACCTACGGAGAGCCAATGGACTTTCTTGCATGTGACGTTTCAGGTGGAAGAAGCCAGCTAGAAAACGCTGAGCGTTTCTTGGAAAATGTTGGTTCGGAAGACAACTGATTATGGAACACGTCTGAGAAAAGTGGTTGTGCAAGGTGTGGGGCGACAGATGGAAACTGCAGTGCAGCAAGTTGTGGTCCCCAAGAGCAATTTAATCAGGACATCTTGCCCTTCCCATCTGAAACACCAAGCAGTCCCTTCTCTGAATTTCAACCGGAATAAAATATGTGCTGTATGTGGTGTTTCGCTTTTTTTTTTTGTAAAGTCGGGCCAACATATTATATAAAGGAAGTTGGAATAGAAAGTAAAACAAATTGTGAGCTGGTAGTCACGCTGCGGGAGGTGACAGGGAGAAGGGGTGGGGGCCTCTGGGCGCTGCTTCGGTTTTGTTTTTGGATCCAGATTCTAGTGCCCGAGCGTGAGTCTCAGGATCTGCAGGTGACACGCCAACAGGAGGTTCACCGGGGCAGGCACCTGGCCTAGCAGTTACACTGCTGACTGGGACGCCTGCACACCCCGGCTCAGCTCTAGTTTCTGGTAATGCGCACCCTGGGGGGCAGCAGGTGGCGGCTCCAGTCCTTGGATCCCTGCCACCAATGTGGGCGACCTGGACTGAGTTCCCAGCTCACAGCTTCAGCCTGGCCCAGCCTGGCTGCTGGAGACATTTGGTGAATGGACCAGTGAATAAGCTCTCTCTCTCTCTCTCCTCTCACATAAATAACAGAAGTGCACGTTACTCCCAACGACGCCTCAAAATGAAGCTCCTATAATAGTTGTTTGGAGGGTACTTCAAAAAATCTATGCAAAAGTGAACTTAAAAGGTAAGTTTTCAGCCGGCGCTGCGGCTCACTAGGCTGATCCTCCACCTGCGGTGCTGGTACCCCAGGTTCTAGTCCCAGTCGGGGCGCCAGTTCTGTCCCGGTTGCTCCTCTTCAGTCCAGCTCTCTGCTGTGGCCCGGGAGAGCAGTGGAGGATGGCCCAAGTGCTTGGGCCCTGCACCCCATGGGAGACCATGAGAAGCACCTGGCTCCTGGCTTCAGATTGGCGCAGTGCGCCGGCCGTAATGGCCATTTGCGGGGTGAACCAATGGAAGGAAGACCTTTCTCTCTCTCTCTCTCTCTCTCTCTCTCTCACTGTTTAACTCTGCCTGTCCAAAAACAAAACAAAAAAAAAAAGTAAGTTTTAAGTCCAGTTCACTGGACGGAATGGTTTCAGCAACAAGGGCAGGTGAAAGACCCAGGGCACGTGGGGCAGCTGTAGACGGACGAGCACAGACACGGCGAGGCAGACTCCATGTGCAGCTGCCGCTGGACCCTGCGTGGGCACAGTCACCGCCCTGGGAGACAATGCCCCCAGCAACACAGTGAGCAGGGGCTCTAACCTAAGGCCCATAGAGCTCTCTTCCAGCGAGAGAACACCTGCTCTGACGTGTACATGCCTCTCTTAGGACAACTTATGAAAAAGGACGTTTCCACCTTCTCAGAAACACGAGTTTAATTTGGGGTCACCTCGAGTCCAGAGAGAGTCAACAGGTATAAAAGGGAGTCTGTGGGGCCGGTGCTGTGGCGCAGTGGATTAATGCCCTGGCCTGAGGCACCGGCATCCCATATGGGCGCTGGTTCAAGTCCCGGCTGCTCTACTTCCAATACAGCTCTCTGCTATGGCCTGGGAAAGCAGTGGAAGATGGCCCAAGTCTTTGGGCCCCTGTACCCACGTGGGAGACCCGGAAGAAGCTCCTGGCTCCTGGCTTTGGATGGGGGCAGCCCCAGCCATTGTGGCCAATTGGGGAGTGGACCATCAGATGGAAGACCTCTCTCTCTCTCTGCCTCTCCTCTCTGTGTAACTCTGACTTGCAAATAAATACATCTTAAAAAAAAAAAAAAGAAAAAAAAAAGGGAGTCTGTGACGTGACTTGCCCAGGCCGTGTACCGGGCCTGCAGACTCTCTACTGGAGGGAAGCTCCCAGATCGTGGCTGGGATGCTCCTGGTTCCACCAAGTCCACGCTCTCAGGCTCAGGGTGCAATGCTAGCATGCGCGAGTGAGGAGCCCACACCTGCCTTGCCTGTGGACCAGAAAAACCGAACTATCCTTCCAGTTCTCCTAGCTCCCTCCTTCTTGGGGCAGAGGAAGAAGTGAAATTACTCAGAAACACCAGAGGTACCTTGGGAAACAACCAGTTCCAGCCTTCTCCTGATACAAAAGAGGACAGAGAAACGCACAGGCTGTTGGGATGTTCCCACCCCACACATGGTGACACAGTGGCTGCCCCAGAAGCCAAAGCTGCACCTGTTGCTTTAAGATGTGTCAAGCACAGGAAAGGGAAAAAGAGGGAGCAAAATTGGAGCTTCCTTGCAGGCAGAGAGTGGACTGAAGGGAAAAAAAAAAGTGGGGAAGTCCCCCAGGTGTTTTACAGCGGCCACCCCAGAACCCCGGAGCAAAGGGATCCCAAGTTCCCCTTTGGTGGCTGTGGTTTCTGTCGGCTGCCGTGGCCTGTACAAGCCAGACTGAGATGGTGGGCGTTCCCACATCAGGGCTGCTCTCACAGCTAATGTCCCGCAGTTTTTGGAGTTGTGTCAACGGTAGCCTCCTGTGTCCTTCCACACCACGTGGTTCCAGCAGTCGATGCGGGGGGACCTGTGTGTCTGAGGGCCTGTGTTGGATTTGGTCACTTGGTTCATTCAACAATGCTTTGTGAGCAGCTCCTAGGAGCCTGGCATCATGTGGATGCCGGGGACACCCAGCCTACGGTGGGCACTGCACCTGTTTTCTTTCTGGATATGTTGTGTGTGTGTTGGGGGCAAGGGGACAGCCATTGCTTTTGTTTTTCTTTAATGGCTTTGGAAAGAATCCAAATGAGCTTCAGCTAATGAAAACCCCAAGACCCTGCTCTGAGTTAGCTGCTCAGACAGCAGCTGAAATGCCACTTGTCCCAAAGAAAAGTGAGTGTCCGTGCCACAACTGCTTCCGATGGCCCGAGCAGCTTCCTGCTGGAGTCGGCAGCCAGTGCGCGTGTGTGCAGCTGTTCCATGCTACAGCTGCTGGACCGTGTCTGGCAGCCACAGGGACTTAGACAACCCAAAGTAATCAGAATCTTTTTAAGGGATCAAACCCTTTCCATTTGGGAGCAGCATGGGGGCTGCTGGGGGGGGGGCGGGGCTGGGTAGACAGCAGGAGGTTTCTGGGGTCTCCACAGCACATATATCAGGGACAGCGGCCTCTCCCTGGACACAGACCTCACCGAGCCCCTGCCAGTGCTGTGGCCGGGAAGCACGTGTCATTAGAGTGGGGGGCAAAGTGTCTGCTGGCAGGAAGCACCCTCTGTGACCAACGATGGTGCAAATCTGTTCTGTGTCCTAGACACGGCGCGAAGCCAGGGCTTAGGGAAAGCAGGACACTAGTTTTCTCCTGACTTTTAATTCCTTTCCTTATTAAAAAAAAATGAAATCTGGGCCGGCGCCGCGGCTCACTAGGCTAATCCTCCGCCTAGCGGCGCCGGCACACCGGGTTCTAGTCCCGGTCGGGGCGCCGGATTCTGTCCCGGTTGCCCCTCTTCCAGGCCAGCCCTCTGCTGTGGCCCGGGAGTGCAGTGGAGGATGGCCCAAGTGCTTGGGCCCTGCACCCCATGGGAGACCAGGAGAAGCACCTGGCTCCTGCCATCGGATCAGCGCGGTGTGCCAGCCATGGGGGCCATTGGAGGGTGAACCAACGGCAAAAGGAAGACCTTTCTCTCTGTCTCTCTCTCTCACTGTCCACTCTGCCTGTCAAAAAAAAAAAACAAACAAACAAACAAAAAAAAAACAAAACAAAAAAAAAAGAAATCTTAATTCTGCTTTTACTGGGTGCTTCTTTTCCTGTTTCCTAAAAAAAGCTGATATTTCTAGAAATTATAGCTGTCATCTGTGTTCAATATTAACATGCAAATAAAATCCATAGTTGATTTGCTCATTAAAGACTGTGCTGCAGCCAGGCCTGGTCCCAGGAGCCGGGGACACAGCAGTGACGGAAACCAAGGCCCCAGCTTGCTGCTCTCACTTTCTCCCTACCCAGTTCCCCGTCCCAAGGGCCACTGTGTGGTCTGTGTTCTGTGTGTGAGCACGACACGCAGAAACCCGCAGAAAATTCCTTGCTGAGGTTTCCTTTTTTTTTTTTTTTTTTTTTGACAGGCAGAGTGGACAGTGAGAGAGAGAGACAGAGAGAAAGGTTTTCCTTTGCCGTTGGTTCACCCTCCAATGGCCCCCGTGGCTGGCACACCGCGCTGATCCGATGGCAGGAGCCAGGTGCTTCTCCTGGTCTCCCATGGGGTGCAGGGCCCAAGCACTTGGGCCATCCTCCACTGCACTTCCTGGCCACAGAGAGAGCTGGCCTGGAAGAGGGGCAACCGGGAAAGAATCCAGCGCCCTGACCGGGACTAGAACCTGATGTGCCGGTGCTGCAAGGCGGAGGATTAGCCTATTGAGCCGAGGCGCCGGCCTCCTGAGGTTTTCTTTAGGCGGACCTTACTCCCTGCTTACAGAAAGCTCATAGAAATCCCACATCTTTCGTTCACGACCGCGAGCTGTCGCTGTGGTGCTGTCACCATGTGGGTCACCCCTGAACACGGAGCATCACCTGTGACGCTGTCATGGCGCGGGCCCCCCATCCACATCCCTGCTTGCCTCTGTGTGTATTTCCGTGGCATCTCAAGACTAAAACGTCCGGGTTGAAGGGGTGTTTACCCTATAAACGCGATGAGCAACGTCCACCTTTGATCCCGCGGGAACCTGCCCCCATTTAACACTAGCCACCCTGGGTTCCCTCACGGCGTGAAAACACCACTGTGGCTATCCATGGGTGCCCACGCACAGCCCCACTAAGCACTCGGGTTTGCACACAGTATGTCAGGTCTTGCAGAGCGGGAAATCACAAGTGTCAGCGACAAGGGGAGTAGGGGCCCAGGCTCCCCAGTCCTGCTGGCCGGCGGTCTGGCTTCCCACTGGGCACCGCGGAGCTGCTGGACGCCCAGGACTCGGGCAGTGAGCCCCTGTTTCCATACCCCTGGGCCCGAATCCGCGTGGAAATACGCTTACCTGTCTCGGGAAGCTTAGAGTCTTTTCACAGATGATTCTGGCGCTTGTGGGCGGGTCAGGGAATTCGTAGACTTGGTCAGTGAGCGGCAGCGGCCCCTCCACCCAGCCCTTCATCTGCTCGTACACGGGTCCTTCGGGCAGAGGGTGGAGCAGGCTGGGCACCTGGTAGGTCTCCTCGGAGCTCTCGAGGGCTTCGTCCGGGCCTCTGGGGAGTGGGGGGCAGAGCCTGTCCGCTGGGGCCTCGGGGAGGATTTGCAGGCGGTTGGCGGGGGCCAGGCCCTGCCTCCCGTGCAGCAGGCACCGCCACCAGCCCTCGCTTTCTGGCATGTCTTGCTCCAGGATGGTCAGGATGTCCCCTCTGGAGAAAGCCAGCTCGTCTGAGCAGTCGGGGTGGTTGTCGTAAAGGGCCCTGGCCAACAGCCTCTGGCGGTGCTGGGGACAGAAGAGAGAATTCGCTGTCATTATGATCGCCCGTGACCGTGGTGCTGATGCCACCCACGTGGGAGCCTCAGTGTGACTTCTAAGTGCTACTCCCTTTCATTCTCTGCCCCAGAGACTCTGGGCCCTGCTCTTTGCCTGATCTATTTGTTCCCATTCTTAGGGACTCCGGTGAAATGTCGCATCCTCAGGCAAGCCTGACCTGCACCCCACCCTGATGTATTTCATGACCCTGTTTTAATTTGTGGAAACTAGGACCCTTGCAGCTGTAGAGCTGAGTGCAAGGTAGCACAGTCGGATTGAAATCCTGGGTGTAGCGCATGGTAGGGTTGAAATTCCCAGCCTGTGTGTTCACGAGCAAATTAGCTACCCTCTCTGGGCCTTGGCTTCCTCATTTGTAAGACAGGAGTAGTAATAGTACCTACCTCATGGGGTTCCATGCAAATTATATAAACATATATTTAACATCTCTCTCTCCCCTCTCTTCTATGCGTGCTTGACCTTTGGCAAGTGCTTCTGTTGCTGCCACAATCATTTCATTTATTTCTTTGAGAGGAAAAGAGAGAGACCCCAGATATGCTGTGCCACTCCCCAGATGCCCACAGCAACCTCAGGCCGGGGGCTGAAGCTGGGAACTCGTCCAAGTATCCCACGTGGGTGGCTGGGACGCAGCTTTCTGAGCCATCCCTCCTTCCTCCCAGCGTCTGTTAACAGGGAGATGAAGCCAGGAGTCGGAGCTGGGTATCAAACGCAGGCTCTCCAGTGTGGATCACAGCCGTCTTGTCAGTGTCTTAACTGTTCGGAAATTGCCTGCCCCTGTTATAAGTATGATGCTGCAATTTGTAAGTGGTTCTTTTTCTCCTGGATTGGAAGTTCCATGGCTGCTGAGCCCACATCCTGCTTCTTTGCTGCTCTGTCCCCAACACCTGGCCGTGGCCCAGGTGTGTAGGAGACGCTCAGGAGATGTTGGTTAATGAGTGCCTCTGGAAACACCCAGGGGGCTAGCGACTTGCCTGTAGTCACACACTCAGGATCTCATCTCAGTTTCCCTAATCCTCCAACCCACACGCTTCTCAGGAAGTCACAGGGTCCCCCTAAAACATCATTTCGTGGCAATGGTGGTTGACGGGTAAGCCCCTCCTTGTTTGCACTTTCCACTGTAATTAGACCAGTTTCTATAGGTTTTAAAGTAATCATTCTCCCTTCTTATATCAGTCCATATTCATTACAGAAAACCCAGGAAGTACAGAGACTCAAGGTGAAGAAGATGATAATTACCCATAACTCCCCACTCAGGGAACCTGCTCAGCCCGCTTCTTTAAATCAGTGATACTTTTTACGCCCATTAGTCCTCAGACACAGTTTATCAATAAAACAAAAACAACCACAACCCTCCCATTCCATTTGTTGCAAATTGTTGTGTTTCTTGTATCCTGATCTTTGTTACAAAAATGGAGCTGGATGGCCAATCTTGGCAAATCCCATCTGAAAGATCTGGCAGGGCTGGGTGGACTCGGGGCCACACTGCTGCTCCGTGTCCATCTGAGAGGCAGGAGCAGCATCAGATCCATCACACAGGCAGAGACACTGAAAGTCCCCCATTAAACCCACTGCAGCTGAGACCTAGGACAGCATCACCATCTTTGTAGAGAAAGCCTTTTTTCTTGCTACAGAAACAATACTCCTTAAAGGAAGAGAACAAGGCCTTCTGCCACGTGTTTCATCAAGTGCATGTGGGCAGTTGGTCACACACCTCTACAAATTTATTTTCTCTAGGTAACTTAGGTCTGGCTGCAAAATGGCCTCTCTATTCTGCACCCCTTTTCCTAGCATTCTGGTGCCCCGTGTGAGGAGGCACCAATCTGCAACTCTTTTCCTAACAGCGCCCAGTCTCACGGACAAATTATTCCAGGAAGAACAGAATGCAGTTTTCACCTGACACCCTAACGGGCCACTGGGATCTGGTGTCAATCAGAGAGTCCTTGAAGAACACCAGAGAGCGGCTCCGGCCTGAACTTCAAGGTTACTCCAAACCTTTCTTCCAGTCCCGTGCGTCAGGCCGATGCCCACGAAAGGAAGCTGAGCTGGACCAGACCAGCATTCCCAGAGCTGAGAGCAAGAAGAGAGGAGTCTCTGGCTTACAGAGTGTGAGGAGTCAGATGGGTTAACAGACAGTCATGGGGTCCCAGGGGAATTTGGGTTGTAAAATACTTGCTTCTTTCCCCAAAACTTTTTTTTAATCTTTTTTTTTTTTTTTTACTTTGAAGTCAGAGTTACACAGAGAGAGGAGAGGTCTTCCATCCAACGGTTCACTCCCCAGATGGCCGCAACGGCCGGAGCTGTGCTGATCCGCAGCCAGGAGCCAGAAGCTTCTTCCGGGTCTCCCACATGGGTGCAGGGGCCCAAGGACTTGGGCCATCTTCTACTGCTTCCCCAGGCCATAGCAGAGAGCTGGATGGGAAGTGGAGCAGCTGGGTCTCGAACCGGCGCCCATATGGGATGCTGGCACTGCAGGCTAGGGCGTTAACCCACTGTGCCACAGCACCAGCCCCAAAACTTTATCATTAGAAAGAACAAACAGGCTGCCCTCCTTCCTTGGAATCTCCAAATTTACCATGAGAATAGTAAGGAAGCTCCTCCAGAGCCCACAGCTTATTGTTACCTATCCCACCCTTAGCAGGCCAGACAGGGTGAATTGTAAATGGGTTTTTTGATTGTTTTTGTCCATGCCTGGTAACTGAATGCCAATCCTTCAAAATGAAACTTAAAGCTGACAGCCACCAGTCCCCTTGGACTTTCCTCTCTTGGAAGCACTCCTCCACACTGCTCAGGCTGGAGGTCCTTGATTCCAATAAATACTTTTGAATCTAAAAAAAAAAAAAAAAAAAAGGACCAAAACCATTACCAACATGGGGGCAGGGGTGTCCCACAGGACCTGTGTGATTCCTGCTCACTGTGTTCGCCCTGCACGGCACCAGGAGTTGGCTTCAAGGCCTTCAGCACCTGGTCCCTCAGCTCCGCCTCCCATTCAAGAAGAGAGATGACATCTCACCACCTGAGACCTCCTTGACCTGACAGACTACCGGTCACCTGGGGAGACCTCCTTGACCTCACTAGTTGCCTCAGCTCAGCAATTGCTTCAACAAGAACAAGAATTCCCTAAGATTCTTTTCATAGTCATCATGACTCAGTTAGCAAAAAACTCACTGCTGTTATTGTTGTCTTATGTTGCGCCCCCCCCCCGTCCCTATTCAAGAACACCACCTGATTATTTTTCTATCAAAAAAAAGGAAGAGAAAAAATAGCAATAATAGGAGAAAATAAAAATGTCTGCAGCCACGTGCCAGCACCACAGGTCGGCACGGTTAATGCTTTGGTTAGTGTGTCTTTCCAGATCTTTCCTTGGATGTGTTTGTTCATCTACATACCCACATTGGATGTGTTTGTTTATCTATATACCCACATCTGTATTCTACTTTGTAGCTTTTTTTTTTTTTTTTTTTTGCTGTTAAAGAGGCAAATTGTTTCTACTGAGCAGGAAAAGAAAACCTAAAAAGTTAAAGTTCATTACCATGTAGGACTCTAACCCAGGTGGGATGTAGCCCCGCAATCACATCCTAATGTTCTTCTAATTAAACTCAATACGGAGCTCCCTGGTCAGCTCTGGCCTTGTTTTAACAGCTTGCTGGTTCCCTCACTCATTCATCAGCTGATTAAAATCTTTGACACGGAGGCCAGCTCTGTGGCGTGGCGGTAAAACTGCCACCTATGATGCCAGCATCCCATGTGGGTGCTGGTTCAAGTCCCAGCAGCTCTACTTCCCATCCACCACCCTGTTAATGTGCCTGGGAAAGCAGCGGAGGATGGTTCAAGTCCTTGGACCCCTGCACCCATGTAGGAGACCTTCATGGAGTTCCACATTCCTGGCTTTGGCCTGGCAAAGCCCCAGCCATTGCAGCCATTTTGGGAGTGAACCAGTGGGTGGAAGATCTCTGTCTCTCCCTCTCTCTGCCTTCAAATAAAGAAATCCTTTGACATGAGGTCATTTTACATTTGCACATTTTACATTTTTGTAAATTGTGCTTGAACCAACTACCCAGAGCTGGAGAGGGAAAATGGAAACACAGTCTCCAACAATCATCCTGATTCCCACAGGTCAAGCAGTCCTAAGAGAGCAAGCCCATTGCCATTGGTCCTGAAATGAGCCCAGTATTAGACAGAGCAGGTGTTCTAGGGTGGCAGCCGCTGAGCTGGTGCAGCTGTGGGCTGTGAGAGGCAGGGATGTTCCCCAGGGAACAGTGGGCGTCCATGAGCATCCCATGCACAACCAATGTTGTCCCAGAATTTTAATAGTAAAGACCATCACAGTGTATGTAACAGAAGGAGGAAGTGGCACGGGGCAGGTCTTGGGGAGTTCCTAACCTAGAAAGGAGGGAATTTGAACAATGAGTGGGGGCCTGCTTTGTGTTGAGTACGCTGAAGTTGTGTATCACTAAATCTCAGAAGCCTCGGAGGTGGGCTTTCTGGCCCTCAGTCCACAGAGGAGGAAACAGAGGGTCAGAGACAGCAAATGACCTGGCTGCAGGCCCGCAGTGCGGCACGGTTTGCTAAGTGCTGCTTGCAGTGCTAGCTGGCATCTATGCTGGAGGAGCCGCCCCTGCTCCCTGCTAGCGTACCTGGGATGGCAGTGCAAGATGGCCCAAGGATCTGGGACCCTGCCACCCAGCGGGAGACCAGGATGGAGTTGCTGGCTCCTGGCTTTGGTCTGGCCCAACTCTGGCCATTGCAGAAATTTGGAGGAGTGAACTAGTGGATGGAAGATCTTTCTCTCTCTCTGTGACTGTGCCTTTCAAATAAATAACAAATTTTTTAAAAAGATTTATTTATATATTTAAAAGGCAGAGCCACATACACAGAGAGATATCTTTCTTCTGCCCATGACACTCTTCCGTCAGGTCTTTGCATGACTGGTCCCTCCTCTCTCAGGTCTCACC